CATGTTGACCATCAATTCATTGAATGATTAGATGCATGCGGTCTATTATCGATTGTTGAGATTGTTAGCTCGAGGAATGGGTCGTGCGACTAGGGATGGCTGATTGCGTCAATGTGGGCAGACGAGGAGGAGAGCTAGGGAGAGACAAGCGGCTTCTAACAATGCTTTTGAGAAATGTAGCATTTGTTGACTTTTCCCTTTACGTCGAAATGTCTATTATTCTCTCTGAATCTAATGATTCACTTGATTCAGTGAACGGTGACTCTGATGAATGCCGATAACCTGGGTATGGGTTCATACTGTACAGGGATTCTGTCAGGGCACAGATGCGACATCGTCTTTTGTCTCCAGGACCCTTCAGGGTATGTTATGGTTCAGCCAATCTCCCCCGCTCACAGAGAGTTTGGACTGTCAATTTTAACTTTACGGTTGTTTACTGCTCTGTTTGTTGTGACTCGTCTAGAATTACCGTAGACTTTGCGCTAGGAACCCGAAGCTGCAAAGCATCACGCATTCAGTCGAGTGCCTCGAATTCTTTTCGGGATGGGACTTGGACCCTTTCTCCAGGAACAGGAATTCATTGAAGGGACCACCACCCACCACGTACGTTGAAGTGATCGGCGTAGGCGAAGCCCAGAGACCAAGCATCGCATCACATCACATCCCTCCCAACCGAAAATGTGCAAGACGAACAAGAGCAGGTTTAGACCTCCGCTAGCAGGCCTTCACAGCCCGCTCAAAATAGACCTGCCCATTCCCCGCATGGTGGCCTGGCAAATGACACAAGAGAAGAGAGCCCTGGAGGGATTCTCAGAAGAGCCTGATGAAACACTTGGACGGTGCGGCAGGGCATGGTATGGCATGGTGGTAGCGGCAGGGTGCCAGCTTTGATCAAAGTCCAACAACGATCTAACCGAGATCGAGAGGCTGGATTGCGCAAGAGCCAGTGGCAGTGGCAGTTATCACTCATCAAGGACCAAAGATAATCAATCTTCCATCCAGCAACCTTCCATCGGCAATGAGATGGTGTGGTGCATACTGTAGGGTCTCTCTGCATATACAGGATAGGATGAGAACCCGTCTGGTAAGATAAGATGAGGCTGGCGGCAAGACGACCTCTAGAAATGATGAAACGATAGGCAATATGCATAACCAAACATCGAATTAACCTACCCTACTGGGTTCTATGTTTTGCCACCGTCGTCACTTGCTATGCCCAGGCTTGCTTATCGTCAATGCTCATGCTTCACGACGATCTTGTCAACCATCGTGCTGTGTCTACCGGTTTAGATTCTGCAACACACGATGCACAAACTCGCCGTTATTAACAAGATACCCACAGTTATCAACGGTCTTTGTTGTCGACGTCTCGATTTAGACGCCCGCAAAGGTGCTGCAACCGTAGTGGCCGACAAAGAGTTCCTGCGTGAGGGTTGCGTGGAGTGTGTCTCGCCAAGTACAGTCTTCGGACAGGGCGAGTTAACCGTACATACAGTGCACTAGATGCATACAGAATACATAGAAGCTGCAGCCAGAAGTCGTGGGTTGGGGTTTGGGGCTGGGGTTGTGTTGTGTGTGGGTGAGTTTACCCTTCAAGGTCAAGCACAAACGCCACAGTGTTTTGCAGGTTACCACAACTGGACTTGTCAACCTCTCATTTCAGACGAGGTTGGTGTTCAAGATGGTCTGGGTCTGGGCTCCGTTGTGTCTCAAGACACTACCCTAAAGTCGAGAATAATCCAGATCAACGTCACACACGTCAGAGGCCTTCCAGAAGCCAGAGACAATGGTGACCTTGTTCTCATTCATTTTGCCTCTCGTGGCGATATTTAGCACCAGAGAACCCTTGAGACTGTTTTGATAGTGGTTCGACCATTGGGGAAACAGTGTCAATTATCAACAGCTTCTCATTCGGCGGCTGTCCAGGGCACAACACACAACAAAACAACAGACGAGAAAGGGATACGTGCGATCTGCAGACGGGAGGGGCCATGACAGAATGGCACAGTGCAATAAACTCATTGTTCAGTGAAGACGCAGGCCAGCCCGCCACGTTTCCAACGTATCCATGTCCAGAACCATTGAGGACAGGGTCATGGAAGGGTCTCGAGGCCGCCCAGTCATAGGCCTCACCAACCCTCCCTCATTCTGCGCTGGTGGTCAGTAATGGCTCCATACACGGTCATGCACAGTGCCATGATAGAACTTTGAGCCTAGTGCTCACTGCCTCGCAAGGTACCGTCCATCACCGCCATCCCGCCAACCCACCTGAACCAACCTGGTCAACCCATCAGAGTCCGTCGCCGTCCCCCGAACGTTCGTTCAATCGTTCGCTCACCAGCCTCGAAGCCCTGCCCTGCTCTTCCCTTCCCGTCCCGCGATGGTCATGGTCGATTTGACTGCCCGTTTGGCGACTGGGGCCTCTTCGGCACTGCACGCACTTGAACTTAACTGCACCTCACCTTACTTCACCTGGTCCTGGGGGACGTGGATACCCGTTGGAACAAACAGAAATCCAGTATCTAATGATACAATGCCTCGACCGCCCTAATACACCAGATATGTGTGCCGTGGTAATGAAAGGCTGCGGGGCATCCAACGTCGCAGATGAGAAACGCAATTCCCTTGCCTTCCTTCATTTCATCATCACGAAAGCAGTGGATAACAACAATTTCAGCATGTCAACAAACAAACTGGCGCGCAATCCAATCAATTGACAAGATTAGCATGCTGCAGCAGGGCATTGCGCCTAATTACGGCTGCGAGAGCCCTGAAGGGGACGGACAGAAAGGGGCTTTTCTGCGCTAGCACAGGGGAATTGCAGTGGCAGAGTGGGAGGGCACGCGGTCAAGATGGTGCCTGAGACTTAGACTGAGACTGCGTTTGCGTCTGCGTCTGCGTCCTTCTGAGCTCCTCACTGTGCGGTAGAGTAATGTCTGCAGTAGAGAGATTCCATCACTTCGTCACTCACCTGATGAGCAATGCGCACCCCTGGTCCCCAAGCCTGAGCTTGACAGAAAGAAAGGAAGAACGAACAGACGCTAGACTAGCAGGGCTCCAGGGCCTCTCTCACGATCCAAGTTTGGAACCAGCACCAGGTCCCGCAGGGACAAAGCTGAGAGAGTAAAAAGTCACTTGACAAAGGCTGGAATGGGAACCCTGAGAGCGCCGACAGCGATTTGACACTGGGCTTGGGTCGTGTGTGGATGCAATAGCCTCCACCCGGGCTGGGTAGGCGCTGAGTTTCGGATACCGCCAAGGGTGCAGGTGAACCTAGAATAGGACAAGTAGCGTGAACTCAGCCCCTTAGCAGATAGGTGTGCTGTCTAGCTCTTGGAACACGCTGGTCGTACTGTGTATGTCTCTGTCTCGAAGACTGTGCCGTCGTCAAACATCCCTACCCGGGATAGACAGGGATGACCTAGCAGCATGCCACCAAGATTACACTGTGGCACACGCTATCCCTCCACTATACCAATCATAACAAAGTGGCAAAGACGTCCTGGCCACCGTCTGCAAGGCGTGATTTGCCAGAATCGGGTCCCACCCTCATCTCCTGGTTCGGCAGGCGCTTCATGTGGAGCAAAGTATGGGCACTGTGGATACTAGCGGATTCACAGTGCTCACAGTGTCCCCAACCAGCAGACTCACATCGCCCGCCGTCCCCGGTGTAAGGTATCCTGCGTCCTGCATCTGCCTGTCCACTTTCCATTTTCCATTTATTTTACTTATCAGAGCCCGTCACCTTCCCACTCCCATTCCGCCCCTCCCCTCGTGCCTCGCCTCGCTTCGCTATCCATTCTCCCACAATTCAACTCTCTTCATCCGTCACCCAAAAATCTACATCAACCAACAACCTCACTCTACTCTCCTCTACAACTCAACCGCTACTACACTTCACCAGTAACTATTCTTCGACTTTTTGGATCTTGTCTACCACGACTACCTAGATCGACGATTCTCATAAACACTTTCAATTTCTTGTTTGTGTTTACTTGCTTCAATTAATCCCGCACCAACTCCGACACGCACGCACAACCGCGACTCACATCATGTCTGCATACTACCATTACAACGCCCACCCAGCGCACCCCGCCCCCGTGTCGCACAACCACCATGGTGGCCGAAATCGCAGAGCTCCCCGTCTTTCTGTGTCCCAACAAGCTCAACGCCAGTTCCGCGGTGTCCGTAGCATGAAGGAACTCAACGAGACTGCTTCCCTCACAGCCTTCCGAACCAAGTTCGAGACCAGTCGATCCTTTGACCTTGAAGATGACATGGAGTTCTGTCCTGGTCTGTTGACCGAGACTGACGTGAGTTATCCCGTCACTGTGTATGTCGGCGCATCAATCTGACCTGTTGTTCGCAGTTGGTCTCCATCTCAAGCGCATCTGAGCGTTCCTCATTAGCCAGCAACTCTCCCGACTCTTCTCCCACGCAACACCCCAACACTGTTGCTCCTGGCTTCTCTCTCAACTCAACATCTCCTGCCTTCATTCCTCCCGCCTACCAGCAACAGCCCAGCATGAAGCTTCACCAGCCCTCCGCCACCCGCGGCCGCAATGCCATTCCCATCATCAACCCCGCTACTGGCATTACCATGTCGAGCCCTCCTCAGTCAGTGTCACCTGGCAGGATGCAACAGTCGATGCGTCGGTGGTAAGCCGCACCAGGTCGCTACTCATGCACTCGCATGGGTTGACCAGTGTATCGCATCACCGGCGGTGCACCTTGAACTGTAATTACAACCGTTCGTTCTTGGCAGCTGTTCATCTTGGGAGGGCATATTGACCTATCGAGACTTGATCTTGGCATCCTCTTATCAACTGGGCTGGTTTCCTCTTAAGCTTTTGAGGCCAATCACTTGACGCGATTGACCCCACTGTTGGCGACAACAATTTCGACAACCATCACTTTTACTATCACCCCTGTATAAACATCCCCTAATCATCATACCTCTTGTTTCACCGACAAGTTTATGAGGATAATACTGGCACGGCATGATAAAGAACGATACCATTTTCGGCTTGGTTACTTTGTTATTTTTGCAACAAATCAAATACCTAGGGTTGGGTGTCCGCCTCGCAAGATGGGGCTACAAGACACGAACGGGCGTTTTCTGCATTTTAAGACGACATTGCATCGGTGTTTGGCGGCACAATAATCAGATTTTCTCGGCATCAACTGTTTTCATTTTACATGGGAGGCATGGGTTGGCCTTCCCATTCATACCAAAATGTCTTCTCTCATCGCGGTTATGGGTTATGAAGTCAACAAGAGAAAAAGAACAACATAGAAAGGAGTGCTTTTCGCAAGCGGGGTCTTTATCGGTGTTATTTGATCGGTCGCATCTTGGAAATATCTTTGGGCGGTGGTCAGGATCGAGACGAACGGTGTTTTTGCGACAATTGATATCCCTTTACGGGACGGAAATCTGGGAAATTACGGGGAGTTGGTCGAATTTTTGGTGTTGTCCCGCTGCTGCAATGAACGGGAACGAAAAAGGTTCACCCTTTGCCCATTCTTTTCTTTGTATCATCTTGGGACGGCCTATATATTTGTCCTCTTTTTGTTTTCTTGTTCATGGTTTAGGCCTGAGCGCCATAGCTGGCGCTGGCCTTCCTAGTGTTTTTGGGACCGGAGTAGCTTATACTTTGGAGCGTTGTTTGGTTTGCCCATGTCTTGGTTGGACGGGCTTCTTTTACAATATTTTGTCTCGCCTCGGCAAGCATCTGGAGTGTTCAGGGGGCCTGGGATACATGTCATGATCAGATTCAAAGAGATTTTTGGGATTTGGGAGGCCCTCGAGCCTGGTTTTGCAATGCAGCGGTAGACTGCATGTGTGGCTATTGTTAACTGGGTATTGGCGCTGTCTGGTTGCGACAACGCGGCTTCAGCGCTGCGAGACGAGAATATACGAATGTTCAAACACTTGCCTATTTCAATTTGTGACTGTGACACGATATGGCTTAGAGTGAGCGATCTCAGGTGTGACGATGAGTTGTGTGATGATGTCTGACGAGAAATGATGGTGCAGCTACGACATGAGCGATTTGTTGAATTGTGGTGGCCACTAATGGGTGACCGTTGATCTGTTGAGTGCCATTGCTTCTGGACCAGTGAGTATGGATTTTTTGACAGGCATTTCTAACTTCTGTTTATTCATAGCAGCCATTTGCAAAGCTTCTTAGATGTCAAGTTCAGCTCATAGCTGTAGCTGTAGCTGTAGCTGTAGCTGTAGCTGTAGCTGTAGCCTCAATGACCCCACATCATGTTAACTCCGCGGTGATAGCTACCACAGTCCGTGCAGCGTTTCATTATCAACCACAGCCACGCAATTGGGCCCTCCTTGAAAATCATGGCATTTGCATTGGATCCTCGGTAACGGAAGACAATTTAAAAACAACTCCATTACCTAAATCGGGGTAGCATGGGCTTGAGTGGGGAATGAACGCATGCCGTCTTCATTTCAAGGAGTAAAGGAAGGAGAAGGAGAGATTCTTCAAAGTGATGATGCTTGTGACGTCACTTGCCCGCAAATGGTCAATACCTTACCCGAGAAGAACAGTATTAAGCTCGTGAACTGATCTTTTCCCCTGCAGCTGTTCCTTTCCTTTCTTTTCCTCTTTCATCTCTGTATCGAATCCTTCGTGTCTCTCGATTTCTCGACATTAAAGCTTCACTCTCCCATACGAATCATCACATAACCTTTATACCAACAAGATGATGTCAGCTCGATCCGTGATGGCCCTGCGCACTGCGCACACCAGCAAGATCATCTTCGGACGAGGTTTCTTTACTACATCAACACGTCTCGGTCTCAAGGAGTCATCCACCCGTAAGTTTGAGTCTCTCACAACCCAATTGGACGCGTCTAACACACCCCAGAAACCGACGTCGACTACGACAAGCACAAGCAAGACTCCCTCAGGAAGCAGAAGGAGGGCAGCGGCCACTGGAAGCCTGAGCTCGCCTCAGACAGCGAGGAGGCCGTCAAGGCAGACCGATCGGACATTGATCCTGCCAAGGATATTAAGAACCTCCAAGAGCGAACCAAGAAGGCTGCTGAGGAGACTCACAAGGCCGGTACCAGCACACGGGATAACATGTAAAGAACTGTTATGAATTGGCGATTTGATCAGTTGGTTTGGGAGTTATGGTATTGCCAGATAGACTGGAATGTCTCTGCAAAATAGTTATTAATGAAAACTATCCATAATGATGCCTTTGAGTTCTGTCTTGTTTATGTGTATTCATCCCAACCTCCTCTTTTACAAGTATGATCCAATCAGCCTCTGCTAACGAGCTACTGATATAGCTTAGCATCTTGCTACTTCTACATGTGAGAGTGTTTTCCTAACTCGGACATTATGTATTCCTGTCAGCGACCGAAGCTTGCATGTCTCAGGGTGACGTTGTATAACTCGAGTTGGGAATAAAACTGTCGTCCTCACCTCAATGATAATATAGCCTTCAATTTCATACATAAATCCCTCAACTGCCCTCACACGCAATGAATTGACCAATTCTTCTGCTTTTATTCTCTATTAAATAGAAGCTGCCTCCTGCGAAGTGTTGACATATTCTCAAGTCCTGCACTACAGGGTAAGCTCTGCGCCCTTCTAAGCTCACCTTATCGATAAGCCCCAAAGTTCAAGCTCCTCCATTCTATTATTTCGCCGGTCTCGGTCGGTTTAAACCTCCGAGGCTTCTAATATCTCTCTTTTCCTCCTCGGGCCTCGTCCAGCCCATTGATTCTCCCTAGGACGTTCTCTCCACCAATCTATACACCAAGGACCCTTACCCACCTTCAAAAACATGTCCGCAAACCCTCCAACCTTCCAATCCGCCCTCCTCGCAGGTGCCCTCGCTGGTACAACCGTCGATCTCTCTCTCTTCCCTCTCGACACACTCAAGACCCGTCTTCAGTCCTCGGCCGGTTTCTTTCCCTCCGGCGGTTTCAGCGGTATTTATCGTGGTATAGGTTCTGCGCTTGTCGGTTCTGCGCCAGGTGCTGCGTTCTTCTTCTGCACATATGAGGGCGTAAAGGGCTTCCTGGCTGACAAGGACAATACTTCTGCGCCAGGATGGAAGGCTCCTCTTACACATATGGCAGCTGCTAGCGCGGGTGAGGTGGCAGCTTGCGCCGTTCGTGTGCCGACCGAGGTTGTCAAGCAGCGTGCGCAGGCGGGTCATCATGGTGGTTCCTCGGCTGCTGCCCTGCGGGCCATCCTGTCGCGGTACTCGAGCCATGGATTTGTTCCTATGTGGAGAGAGCTCTATCGCGGTTGGGGAATCACCGTCTTCCGCGAGGTGCCATTTACTGTGATTCAGTTCCCGCTATGGGAGGCTATGAAGTCCTGGGGACGACGCCGCCGTGGTGGTCGCGAGGTCACTGGTGCTGAGAGTGCTCTCTATGGAAGCATGGCTGGTGGATTATCTGCGGCACTGACGACGCCGCTTGATGTCCTCAAAACGAGAGTCATGCTATCGAAGGAGAGTGTTTCAGTATCGGACATATTTGGTCGGATATTGCGCGAGGAGGGCAGCAGAGCTTTCTTTGCTGGTGTAGCACCACGAGTTACATGGATTTCTATTGGAGGCGCAATTTTCCTGGGAAGCTATCAATGGGCTATTAACACCATGAACGGCGTTGTATGATAATGGGAAGCGATATAAGAAATCAACAAAACGGGCGGAATTGTACGATGTAAAACGTGGAGCAAGGAGCAAGGAGTCAAGAGACGGGCGTTCCGAAAGAAATAGAGAGGCTTAACTTCTCACAAATGGTATATACGCCTTGACGGCATCTGACCTATGTACAAATCTACATACGATAAATGGACTCGCTGGTGACAAAAGTCCACCTTCTGGTACACGACAACAAACAACGGATTGAAGAGTCTCGGGATCTTCTCATCTTCTCATTCAACGTGTAAACCGGGAGTTGTCTTAACTCAGCTGGCTTGGGCTTGGGCTTGAGGCTGAGTAGGAACTTGACCATTAGTATTTGCCTCTTCAGCTGCAGCGCCGTCTTGAGTTTCTTCGGGCTCAGCAGGCTTAGGCTCTGGAGGCGGAGGGAATGGTCGAATCTCCTTTTTGCCATTGGCCTTGTAATGAAGGACAATATCATTACCCCCCTTCCACAGATGAGTCCGGAGAGTGGCCAGTGTCGTAGCTGGGGAAAGTAACTGGATAAATGTTAGCAAGTGTAATTGCCCGTGATCGTGCCATGAGTTAAAGAAGAGATCATTACCTGTTCGTTGCAGTACAGTTCTAAATACTCCTCTGGCTTCATAGGGCTCTCCTCGGGCTCCTCAAGTGGAGGCTCAATCCTTTCTGCAACATATGAGAGGATCTTTTTGACTCGAAGCATGCGGTTGGCATTGAGCCTGTTGTTTCCATCGGCTGAAGCAATAGCTGGGAGAGTGTCGTCCATCGGATACAAGACAAACGAAACCTTTACAGGTTCTTTGAAGGGGAGTGTGTTTTGAAGAAGAACATCACCCAGCCACATGGGAGCCTTCTGTTCGATAAGATCTGCATCCTTGCCAACGTCCTGGACGGTGCCCTGGTACAAGTTGGCGCTGCCACCTGTGGTCTCTTCTTGAATAACCACCTTAGTTCCTGGCGGGAGCTTCAGGACGGGTGTATCACTAGGCAAACTGGGTACCACTCGTGACTCGACCGGCTTGTCAGGGTTGTCGGCTAGTTGCCGCTCGTATTCCTGGTGGATCTTCTGAATCGTACCAAAGAAACTGTCATCAACCTCCTTCTCCTTTTCATGAACAGATGAAGACTCGGACTCTTCTGTCTTTTCCTCCACAATCGCAGGCTTCTCTGTGGTGGCCTGAGATGCTGACCTTGAAAGCTTCTTGGTGCCAAAAGTCATCCTAAACTTCTTCTTGCCAAATGGTGTGCTTGGGGACTTTGCACTGTCCGCCTTGTCCTTATCTTTATCCTTCTCTTTGTCACCATCTATAGACTTCTTGGAGTCCGCCTCGTTCTGCGTTGGGGTTGACACCATGCTTGCTGCCTTGACTGCGGATTCGAGCAGTTGTAGGGGGCTTGTGAAGTAGTCTTCCTTCTCCGTTGAAGGGCGGCTGACATGCGAGGTTCTCTTTTCTATAGGAGTCATTGGACTTGTGGCCGCATTTTCAGGAACATCAGGCAAGCTGTTTGGACCTGACATAATGCTTGGACCAGGTGTTGCCAAACCAATGCCTAGACCTGGAGTATTGGGATAGAGATTGGGCTTTGGAGTAACCTGGTCTGCGTTATCCCAGTCTGGGATGGCTGACTTTGGTAATGATATCGATAATGGAGCAGCTTCAGTAGTTCCTCCACTGGCAATCTGCCTCGCCTCAAGACCCTCATTGAGTTTCTGACGATGTGCCTCATCTCTTCTGATCTCTTCATCAATGAGATCGGCAAAGAGATACCTAAGGATCCATTTTCCAAGGCTGACTGGAATCGGGTTAGCTGTGTCCTTGCAGTCATCAAAAGCGCACTTACTTCTCTGGTCCTCTCGAAATTCTATGTTATCTGGCAAATCTAGCTCGTCTGCATATACTTCAGCATCGAAACAATTAAAAGGCTCTAGAACCACAGTAAGATTTCCTGAGCTGAGATCGATAGAGCACCAAGGAGCCACGGCCTCAACAGTGTTGACGAGATGCTCCACATCCTCCAAATGCTGTTTGCCAAAACTTTTAATGGGTTTACACTGAAAAGGTCAGCTGCATCCAAGCTCAGAATAAGTCAGACAAACCTGGATCAAATCCCATAGTAATACGTCGCCAGCGGTGTCTGACGTCAACACACGCCTCCTATCGTTGAGTAGCCTATGCTTGAGCAATCCGAATTGTCCCTCAATCGTTTCCTCAGCCACTGCATGGATGGGTTTGATTTCGGGCTCTGAAGAGTCTATAATGGCTTCGGACCCCTTCCGTGCTGTAGCATCCGTGATAGTGGCAGAATCGGGATCTGGACCAGATCGCGCAGGGAAGGAAGCAGCTGCAGAGATACGCAAGATGGACTCAGCTGGGATCTCCTTCTTTGCAGTTCCGTTAGTAGTAGCCGGAGAAGTCTCGCGGGGTCTGCTAGAAGCATTCGATGTAGCTCTGTGGTGTCGAACAGACTCCGGAAGCTGGATGTTGGTGCCCGTGTCAACGTCCTCCCATCGATTAATTGATGACCTATTCGTTGCTGTCCAGATGTGACCTCCAGCTGCGACAACCTTCCCCACTCCTATATGCTCATGCGCCACAGCAAGACTCAGGCCATCGTCCATATCCTCAAGGCTACCGCGCACATCTGTTTTGGCGACCAAACCCGAGCGATCAGAGCTGTAGAATACACCCAGGCTCGGATCATCTGAGAACAGTGACCAAACACTCTCATCGTGCATGGAGAATGTATACATGCATCGACCGTTCTTGATGCTCCACATTTTGACCGTTTTGTCGGCACTGGCACTCAAAATCGTGTCGCCAGCATCGTCTATAAGAATAGCACGGATATTGTCGACATGACCAACGAGCTTTGAAACCTTATCACCAGTTCGGGGATCGTACAAGCGCACCGTCTTCTCGGGACCACCACTCGCCATGATATTTCTCCCCACACGAAGGGCATAAACAGAACCTTTCTCAGCAATTTCTTCACCCTGTACGTCAATCTCGAGTGTTTTTCCAGCGCCATTGAGATCCCATAAGCATATTTTGCGGTCTAGACCACCAGATGCGACCCAGTTTGCGCCCATATCTGGGGGCGGGGTTGTAACACATTTGACATAATCAGCATGTTCGCCTATCGTCTCGGTGCGGTTTTTGTCCTCTTCGGAATACGGTCGCCAAACCTTTACTGTAAGGTCAGATGAGCCAGATACGAGGGCAGTATTGTTTTGAGCGAGGGCAATGTCGTTGATCCAGTGCATATGGGCATGGGTCTGAGCGCGGAACTTGGTCGTGTGCTTCGGCTTCTTGTCTTCGGAATTGGCAGGCGTCGGGTCGGTAACATCGCTGCGGCTTTTGAGGTCGAGGTTCAGATCCCAAGCGCATACTATGCCATCTCGGCCACCTGAGTATCTGAATAAGGTGATGTTAGAGCAGCACGGATCGGACCGAGGGTGTCGGTGTGAAAGGGCTCACAGAATCGCATTGTCGTTGTCGACGGCGAGGCCATTGACACCTAGACGATGACCGCCTTCAGATGATTTGGCATTTTCGAGGACTATACCTGTGTCAGCAACTGATCCGAAGCTGAGCGCATGCAAGAGAGCATTGTTCAACAAGCGGGGTTGTTGGGGCGTTCAGAGCGGTTGGGGATGAAGTCTCACCATAACTGATTCTCTGGCGTGCCTTCTTAGCCATGACTTGAATAGCTAAGTACTTAGCTTACTGAAGCATGCGCAAGCAACGGGAAGACAGGTAGCACAAGCGACGGGAAGGCGCAGAAAGACGCGACCACGGGGAGAAGTGGAAAGAAGTAGTATTAGGTAGTCTGTGGTCTGAATTGAGTGCCTAAGTTGGGGCTGTCTTAATGCTGTGCGTAGTGGTAGTGGAAGATGGTCGGTCGTGATGATTGCGGAATGCGGGATGGGGAAGCTTGAAAGTGGAGGTGCCCCGACCTCATGGCAAAGTATGTACGTACCTTGACTTAGTTGGCGACGGACATGACGCCGAGTAAGGACATGCCACGAACAGGGTGAGAGAACCAATCTTTAACGGTGGATCAGATGGACCTTTCCTTGTTTAATCGACGAATATCCCTGGGGTTCAATCCATGCTGGAGGGGGTTTGGGGGTTGGCGTTGGGCCGATGAACCGCTAGAGCAAAGGATTGACAGCCTTTCACTGAGTCTGCCTGTAGGTAGAGCCCTCGTGAGCTCTAGACTCTCGACTTGGAATCTGGAGAACTGACAGACCCTGTAAACTGTGCCCCTGTACCCCTGTCGCTCACTCAAATACCCGGGCTCTCAAGCCGTCAACGGCGGGGCTTGACTGCACATCCGCCATGTGCTGCCCATCTCAAGCCCAGGGCAATTCTTAATTGACAGCCATCCAATCCAGTTCAGTTCCATCCCGTCTCTTCAAGTCCACTTGTCAGTTGTGACAGTAGCTCTTTGAAATCTGCAATCGAGAATAAGTGGACGTCGGTCTCGTAATATCTGTTACTTGCATGACCTGTGCCAGTATTCAATTAAAATATTTGTTTAAGAAATGTCAATTGAGCCTAATGTCTCAGATCCTGTGCAATCTGTCGTCCACTCACGTCCTTCTAAGGACATGACTGCATGAACGACCTCACAGAAACATGCTAGAATACCATCATAATGCAAGATATAGAATTTCCCGGGTCGTCAAGAGTAAATCCAAAAGCACCATAAACTCCAAGTAACTGGTTTTCCAAGAAGATAGCCTCTCCATACTCCAGGCTCCAAATTCAAACCCGTGTTGTTCCGAATTATCCAACGATTTTCTCTCGATCCTCCCTCCCTTCATTGGCAAACGCAGCAGCCAACAGAGCACCATCGAGAGGACTTGAATCGACCGGGCTTGTTTTCACACTGCGCGCATTCGTCGTCAACTTTGGTGATATCTTCTTTTCTTCCTGGACAATCCTCTCTGTAACATCTTGTGTTGCCACGCAGAACACGATGTCCGCACTTGTGCTCGATTAACGTCTTGGTACACATTTTATGCTGTTCGGTTGAGATTTTATCTCTTTTTGGGAGGGTGTTGAGTTTCGTAGTGAATTGTTTAGTTTTGCAATGTTGAGAGTTGGATGAGATGGTATGTCGGACTCGAGATCATGCCAGGCTTCTGCCTTTTGTTGCTCTTCGAATCCAATGAAAGAGGGATAAATTGTGAGTCAATCGCAAAGGACAAGTGTTGTTTAAATGCGCCAGATTGTTGCGAGGGTGGTTACGCCGTCAGGTCAGCCTTCGTTCAGCTTCGGCCCAGCTCAGTTAGTTCAACTTATAGTCAGTCAACTTTATTAAGGTTGTGTGAGATTTTGACAAGCAAACAAAAATTGGGACACACGAATAGTTATGTGATGTCTAAGGAAGAATGGAAGCAACTGAGCCTCAACAGCTAAAAAGGACATGACGCGGACTCTGTCCCCAAAGGGAGAAGGGAATGAAGCTCGTGACGCGGCTTTGACCAATGGCCGCGTGGGTGTGGTAGATGTTGCACTTGGAGCATGCCGAGACCCCCGGTTCCGATTCAATACGAGGTCTATTTATTTAGACTGAGACTGAGACTAGACGGGTAAAGCAACCAACGTTAAATCGTATGAGGCATTTCACTTCTGGCCTGGTGTTGGTGGGCAATGCCACTTTTGATGGCTTGATTAAGCATCTTGAAAACTCAAAGATCTCGCTGCAACGTCCCTGAATGACATTGTCGATCGATCCTCGGTCCGCGGGTTCCTAAATATCCACCAACCTATTAAACACAGCCAGTTTCATTGGTGAATCAAATTGCCCTCGGAACATATCTGAAGAGAGTATTGTTAGAGATGGCAGAACAACTGGAAAGGCCTCAGCACTAAAAAACACATGAATTCCATCCATTCACTCCTTAACATCAGTTCGGAGCCCATTTGATCCCTACTAAAAATTGAAAGCTCTGTGGAGTCCATAGCTGATAATCTGGGCTCAACTGAGAGATCATGCTACTCAATTTGTCACCACCTGACGGGTGCCTTTTTATAGGACATGGCTTGTAAGCAAATTTAACATGTCCAAGAATTACACAATCGCTCTATGAGGGATGCAAGGGGAGGCAAAACTTGGGACCTCTATCCTAAGTGGCAAAAAGTCTTAGGTAAGCCTAACATAATTTAGGTTAGGTTTAGTAGATCTGGGACTAAATATTTTTGGCACCTTGATTTAATGTCAGAAGTTTTCTTGCGCCTCGGGGGTATGTCTCAAGATTCACCTCGCAAAGGATTGGAAACAAAAGGGTCTGTCTATGATCCTGCCGTAGCTTGGTACCATCATTACATTTTGCAAAACCTAACGCCGTGCTGAAGGCCTCCCATATACACCGACAGTCAATTTGACTGACCACTACTTCTTTCATCTATCACTTCCCGTACCGTTCTACCTGGTGAACTTGTTACCCTGGCCCTGTCGTGGCTGACTACCGTATGCTCTGCGTCCCTGATGCTTCTTGTCCTTACTCATGCTAGCACCGAGGGTGATGTCAACACGAGGTGGTACTGTGAAGCCGAAGCTTTTGGCGACCTTGGCCAGATCCAGCTTGTTGATATCAAAAACACTGCGCAGCGAGTGAGAGGCGTAGGCGTGAAGGTAGCTGCGGTAACCATCCTTGGCACTCTTGTTCAAGTAGTAGTTTGAACTGATGAGCTTCTCGAGTTGAGACTGAATGTTGATGATCTTTGGGAAATCATATTCTACGACGGGAACACGGGCGGCCTTGAGGTGCGACAAAAAGCCAACCTCGTTGGGCTGAAGGATCAGAAGAGATCGGCCCTTGGTGTTGCTGCCTCGGGCAGTTCGACCGACACGGTGAATGTAGTCGCGGGGGTCATCCGGAGGATCGAACTGGACAATCCAGTCAACGGAAGGAATCTGTTACAGGTTAGTAAATTGTCCATGCAGTAATTCAGATTAGACACATACATCGAGACCACGAGCGGCAACGTCAGTGCAGATCAGAGTACCCTGCTTGGCATTGCAGAACTCGAAAAAGGTGTTGGTTCGCTTCTGCTGCTTCTGTTTGCCGTGGAGATCAAGAACAGGAATATCGATATAGTTGAGGAGTTCGGCGTGGTATTTCACACAAGCACAACTACTGAAGAAGACAATGATCTTCTTCTTGAGGTTGCGCTTGAGGAATGAGAAAAGAAGATTGAATCGCTTCTCGGCATCGCAGATAACGTAACCCTGCTCCAGGCCCTCCACAGTACTGTACTGCTTCTCCTCATCGACGTTGATGTACAGAGGACCAGGACGCAGCGAGATACGGGCAAGATCCTCAACCTTGGTTGTTTGAGTAGCAGAGAAAAGCATTGTCTGTCGGTCCTCCTTAGGGAGAATCTTGATAATCTGTCGCATTTCGTCCTCGAAACCAATTTCAAGAATTCGATCCGCCTCATCAATAACAAGGGACTTCAGGTTCTTGAAAACGAAAGGTGTGTTTTGCAGATGGTCGAGCAGACGTCCAGGGGTGGCAATAAGTAGGTTAACACCCTTGGCGAGCTTGTCGGCCTCAGCGCGACGGTTTGCGCCTCCGATGACAATACCGTAAGTTTGTGAGTGGTGGGCCATGAGTTCTCGGGCAACACCAAAGATCTGGAGGGCCAACTCGCGGGTTGGGGAAACAACAATGACACCAGTGCCGTTGCGAGGCTTGAATCGCAGAGAGCTCAACATCTCAATGACAGGAATAAGGAAGGCCAGAGTCTTTCCAGAACCAGTCTTGGCAGCACCAAGAACATCGCGACCAGCCAGTGAGGGAGGAATACCTCTCCTCTGGATCTCAGTCATCTTGGTGAACTTCATCTCATTGATGGCCTTCATGGTCTTCTCGGAAAGATTCAGCTCCGCAAAAGATTGCGACTCAGCTCCAGCAACTGGAGGTAATGTGAGCTTTCCGCCATCAGGCAGATCTGTGTTGTCCTCGGTCTTGTCCTCGGCATCCTCCGCTTCATTTTCCTCTCCGGGCTTGGAGTCTTCAGCATCCTCATCGGCCTCGTCGCTCTCGTCTCCGTCCTCCTTCAGAGCCTCCTCCTCGTTGGAAGAGTCGTCTTCGGGCTCTTCGCGGGGCTCGGGTTCGGCGCGCTTGACTTTCTTTGATTTCTTTTCGGGAACGGTAACAGACTTCCTCTCCTTTGAAGCCTTGACGCCATTGGCGTCCTTGAACTTGCGTTTCTTGCTGCCGGCGAAATCCATCTTGTTTGCGCGTAATGTTGGTATTCTGTACAACCGATCGTCTCGCAGCAACTGAATCGAGAACTTTTTTTCAGCGATAAGAAAAGTCTTGGAGCGATAAGCGGTGACTTGTTTTTCCGCTCACTCCACCGGACAAGCTGTTTAATGTGCAGTAACCCCCGCTGTGGATTCAGCGGCAAATGTTGTTGCAAGCTTGCCTTTCTAGGACTAGCTCCAGGTCTGATGACTTCGATTTGTATAATTGGGTCACAATGGAAACTGAATTGATCGAGGTACAGATGCACAGAGTAAGATCATATATAAGTTTGCAAGTTGTGCCTCGAGCCCTAATAAGGAAAGCTTATATGCCTGTTGCCTGGCGGATACAGTTCAAGTCACATTGCAAAAGAGTTTCGCTCCATCGAGGGCTGGGCTGCGCACCGAATCGAGGATACAGACAGTAAAATGCAGATGGGGTAGCAGAAAATTACTGCACGCCAAGGGCAGGCGACACAAATACAGAACAAAGCTTAGTGCGAAAAAAGCCCATCAAGTGTCGGCTCAATATTCGCTCAGTCTTGTCTGTACTCTAAAGAGCAGTGGAGGGATGTCACTTAAGTTCCCAACGAGGTTTAGCCTCAAGTCACGCTACACTGCAGGTACTAGAGTCTAGGTACTGTAGGTAGTGGAGGTCCGAACCCTCGCGCTTGGGTCATCCACTCTTGTATGAACCTGATTCTTCCAAATCAGTTTCCTTTCTCCCTCTTCATCTCATCTGCGCTTTCGAGACATCGCCCCTATCGCTGCCCGCGACACTATTAATTACACCCACTGCGATCGCATCAGCTTTGATACGCGACCCGAGACATATATTGGCGATCTGTCAACATCCTTGAAGCCTTTGTATTCGGTCATCGCAACAAGACTCGATCTCATCCTGACTTAAGATTGTGACCGGCGGATCCGTCAAGTCGTTGCGATACCAACTTCCGAAACTCGTCGCATTTGTTCGTCGCGGTTAGGAAACATCACTTACAAGACAATTCAATTCCAAGTTTCTCATAATTTCATCGAGCTATTCACTATTATCTGGTTCATCCTCACGACGAAAAACTAGCTCCTTGCTCGTGCTGGCTCCTGTTCAGCTCCACTAGCAGCGCAGCACAATGGCGAATCCTCAACCTGATATCCAGAGTATCCTGGCCGCACTCGGTATGTCAGAACAACTCATTTTGCATAATCTGCGCTTACTGACTTGTTCACACAGCGTCGCAGCGGCCGACAGGGACCCCAACCCAGACACCACCCGGCGCTCCCAACCAGGCATACCCTCCCCCGCCTGCGTCCGCGCAACCTGCGGCCACATACCAGCCGCCCCCTCCAAACTCCGGCAGCTATGGTGCACCTGGCTACAATGGCCTCCCTGCGCCGTCATCCAGCGGAAACCTCGACCTCAGCTCGATTCGACCTGTCAACTCGGGAACTTTGAGTATTGCTGATGCGATTGCTCAAGCCAAGGCTTATGCCGCCGAAAAGGGTGTGACATCCTACGATCGACCCCTTGTCTATGCCTCCGAATCACGAGGACCTGATCGAGGATATAACCGCTCAAGGTCACGATCACCCGCTCGCGATGAGTTCCGCGATGGCGTGAATCCGTACAGAGATGAGCGACGTGGCGGCGACAGAGGTTCGCATGGTCGGGGCTATGGTCGAGATCGTTCTTATTCGCCAGGCCCCCGTGGTCGGAATTTCTCTCCTCGGGGAAGCAATGGACGCGAGAGGTCTCCCTTGAGAGGCGGTGATGACAACTCGGAGACCATTGAGATTGATTCAAGCCTTGTAGGCCTCATTATCGGCAGACAAGGAGAGAATCTTAGACGCATAGAATCTGAATCCAACTGCCGAGTCCAGTTTCTGGCCGCCACCGATGGTGGTCCGCACAGATTGTGCAAGATCTCTGGGCCCCGGCACCGTCGTGCTGAAGTGAAGGATGCCATTAACCGTATTATTGACGATAGCGGAATGGGCGCTCTTAACCGCCCCGAAAAGCCTCGCGACCCCAACAAGGGCGGTGCTGCGGCTCTACGCGAAGGGGAGGACCACATGCAAATCATGGTCCCTGATAGGACTGTTGGCCTGATCATTGGACGTGGTGGTGAAACTATCCGGGACCTTCAAGAGCGATCCGGCTGCCATATCAATATCGTTGGCGAATCTAAGAGTGTGAACGGATTACGACCTGTCAACCTCATCGGCACGCGCGAAGCTGCCGCCCGCGCCAAGGATTTCATCATGGAGATTGTCGACAGTGATAGTCGAGGCGACGCGCCGCCGCCTGTCAAAAGGTTGGGAGGTGGAGGAGCAGCTCCTGGAGGCCGCCATGATGGTCCTCAGAGGGATGCGGGAGGTTCTGGTGGCCCTGACAAGATCAATGATGCTGTATATGTGCCTTCAGATGCGGTAGGTATGATCATAGGAAAGGGCGGTGAGACGATCCGGGAGATGCAGAACACCACCGGATGCAAGATCAACGTTGCTCAATCTTCTGGTCCCGGTGAGACTCAGAGGGAGATTGCCCTGATCGGTTCGCGAGATAGTATTGCGCGAGCTAAGCTTGCCATTGACGAGAAGGTGGATGCAGTGGTGAGTCTCATCCTAACACGAAGACCTCAATTTACGCAGCTAACATGTGAACAGCGCCAGAAAGGCAGTGGCCCCCGTGGTGGTGGAGGCGGTGGCCGTGGACATCAAGATCATGACAGGCCCAGCTACTCTCAACCACAAGGCTCCAGTGCCCCTACTAACCAGCCCCCCCAACCAGCTCCAGCTGATGGATCCGATCCATACGCCCAATGTAAGTCTTGATATGCTGTGTCCTTGTGCCCTTGCTGAATGCTAATTAATATAGATGGTGGTTACCAAAATTACCTTGCGCTGTGGTATCAATCCTTGATGTACCAACAACAGCAAGGCGGACAAGGTGCCCCCCCTTCTGGTGCTCCTGCACCTGGAGCATAAGTGATGTCCTGCCTGCTCGCTCGTGCTTGGGTGATCTTGATTGAGCTCTCATCCGCAAATGCCGCGGATCGAGGGTGCTATCTGGTGGTTTGATTGATATCATGCCAATGTTTTGACGCTCTTGACGCCTCTCTGCACTCATAGCCCGTTGACACGACCTACGACTGTACATCACCCGTTTTCTTTTCCCGTCTTTTGAGGACCCCTTGGACTCAACTTCTCTGATGACATATCACTTGACTGGGCTGTCTTTACAACATTAATATTGAGGTGCAATATCGGGTGCGATGTGCATGGTTGTCCTGCCATGACCTCATTCGAATTCATTTAGGCGATCCTGGACTCGATGCTGAATGCTTCCACGAACATTTGAAGTTGCCGCCGCCTCTGCTGGCTCTTTCACGATCATGTTGCTACTGGCTTGCGGACTGACAACTCACAACTAATGCGTTGATGACATGTGCGATTTCTGGTGCCAGCTCATCTCTTGGTATGACGTACATCCTGAAACTTGCGATTTGTCGTGGCGTGGTTGAGTTGCGTTGAGATGTGAACCGGCCAACTCAACCGCACGAACCTCGGATCACAACCTGAACTGGGCCAGTAGTGTCTTGGTGCACGTGGTGTCGCTTGTCTCTTGCCCCTTTTCCAATCAGGCTCGTACGGTATTGGATGAATCGACTGTTTCGTGCAAGTGGTCTCCTTGTTTCTGCATGTATGTTGCGTGTTGAGTTGCCTAGCAATTCGCCATGTGCATTAGCTCGCTACTCTTTCATCCGCGTTTTCATTTGAGTCTGGCTTCAACACCAGACAGTCTCATCGCTTGCATGTCATGAGGAAAGGGAATGTATACTTTGGTGACGGTGGGCTGGATTGGAGAAATGGAGTTTCGGATTGCATTGCCTTGTATTACCATCGTAACACTTACTTAGCCTTACACAACCGTGGACTTTCACGTTTATCAATTCATGTCTTTTCTCGTAGTGAGTTGTGAAGATCACTCAAGTCTCCTAGAAGTACCATCACTAGAGTCTGGCAGTTTCTCGAGACCAGTATTCTTTGTCTCAAGGCTTTGAGTATGCTCAACTTTGCCGTGGTACTACAGCCGATGGATGAGCTATCAAGATTTTATGATCTCGACAGATTCTTGATACGTTTCTTTGTGTTGACGGTCGTGAAGCAGATATATGCAGTCTTATGAAGACAACAGAAGTGTTGACGGAACGAACCCAGGGAACCGAAGTGAATGCCTTCAACCATATCTTTGGAGTCCTTATTACTAAATTACCAAGCTGCTTAAGAGATATAAAGCTTTAATGGGAGCCGCTGATTCTATGTATCAAGATGTTGAGACTAGTTTTTGACGGATACAGTGAATAAACCCTACACTTTTACCATGGTGCTGGTAGGTACCTTACCAAGGGGAGGCAAGAAAACCGACAACCTTTATCCTAAGTGATGAAGAGGCTTAGGTAATCCTAGTATACTTTAGTAGATCTTTAGACTAGTTAATTCTGGCACCTTATCTTAATGACAGAAGTTTTATTACCCCTGAGGCTTGCTTAACTGTCTAAGGTAGTATTTTACAGATGTTGGGTTTCTCTGGAATCGACGTCTCCCTCGATGAAGGAAGCTTAGGCAAGTGCATCTTGGAATCAATAATTCAAATGGAAAGAGCTACAGATGGATTCGTCAAATACCTTGGATCGTCCCCAGGCACGGAGGGCAAGGTACTTTACTTTACTTCCACTTACACGAATCATCTCAGCAATAATAACACTCGCTTCATTGACAATTACAACAACACTATTCACTATCAAACTCTTATCTGTCATTTCATCATGAATTGGCGCCCTCTCCCGTGGTGGAGCCGAATGCACTTCCACGAATATCGATGCATCGTCTGCAACAGCGTGCTCCGTGTTCACCCCAGCCAGAACTCAGTAACCGAATATGTCCCCACTGATAGGTGCTACAACTGCAATTACGAAATATCATACAGTCTCGCAACGCATGATGAGACATCTTCGCAACAGTTTCTCCAAACAAGGCTCCCACTGGTGCAAGCGGCAGAGCAGATAGCAGACGAATTAGCTGAGGCCTCGACTCCACTGTGAGTTAACTACCCCAGTCACAACTACCGTATAGTGGTGGAAAGAGACGCCGTTGGGAACTTCAACACCGTAAGACTTCGTTCAAGGCTTACTTGTTGCGATACGGCGTACAGCAGACCATCGACACACATTCCGATCGATGAATTCTGGGGGCCAGATGATGAAGGAAATCCGGAGCCCTGGGTGTATGATGAAAATCCTGAGGCGCATGATGAAAGAATCCGGAACCTCTGGGCAGTTCCGTACCCCCAGACGCATGGCCTTAACAGGTTACCGGCTACTTACCCCGTTCCTCCTCGCGGAGATGCCCATCCAGCTGACAATCCGCCTGAAGGAGATGCCGACCCAGTTGATGATGCGCCTGAAGGAGGTGCGCCTGAAGGAGATGCGCCTGAAGGAGATGCTCACCCAGTTGATAATGCGCCTGACAGGGATACCCATCAAGCCGATGATGCGCCTGCACCACACCAGAGCCCCAACGAGCCAGAAGAGGGGCTCAATATTATGAGAGGCCTATGAGCAGCACAAAGAACACACAAGTGATGCAAGAGGAACCTTGGGATGTCATGAAGAAGCTATATTGGGTAGCGCCTCGAAGGACCCAGAAACCACAACTGAGGGCTGTATTCACTCTGTAACAGCGTTTGATGGCAAACTACTCTTAATGGCCATATTCGAAGCCTCAGCCGGAGGAATGCAAGGTGCTGTTTGCATGGAGGTGAATCATTCACACTGAGGAAAGCTTGTCAGCCAGTCGAACTCCAAATCAGCGCAAGTTGAAGAAGTCGAAGAGACGGCCCGGAGCAGGAAGTTAAGGCTAGAGTCTAGTTGGACACTTTGGTGCAAATATGAAATAAAATAAAGCGTGATCAATTTTACCTCAAGCTTTCTTCTTGTTGGGTGTGTTTTGCGATTAGCATGCACATTAACGTTCCCTATTTCGAATCCAATATGAATAACTCGGAAACTTAAGAAAATATATTATCCTGTAGCTGCAAAAGAGTGATAGAGCAGTCTCTGGAGTCTTAAGAGGAGAGAAAGCCTTTGGAGACACTTGCCAAAGTGAACTGCGTCTTTCAGGTGTCTCCCCCGAAGTTCAGGAGTTAGAGTTGGAGAAGCATCAAGCAATGGAATTTATTTGAGATCATGAGAGATGTCTTATCAGGGCGCAATGCATTGCCTGGTAAGAGAACACTCCTCACTTCAGTATTAGAGCTGTCTACCGGAGGAAGTTCGCCGGAGCATAAGCGTATGAGGCACTCAGATTCATCATGATCAACCGCTAAACCTCAGCCGTCGGTTTCAAACTCGGTACATGTGAGCTCAGGAACGGTGAAACCCAATATCAGAGAGTGTTTGGATGAAACTGACGGACGTTTAGTCTAGAAGCATAAAACTGGTGAGTTACGCCCGTAGAACGTTTGTCGGGTACTTGATATGACGCCTCGGGACGAATGGTGGGAGAGTTAGTAGGTTTTATGATAGTCTGTGGAGGTCCCGGGAATTCCAGTCACGGTGGCTAGTGGAATATAGAACGAAGGAGTCGGCACATGTGCAGCCTAGCGCGGGAGATATCATCATGAGATTGGATATCAAGATCATGCGGGAGGATTATACAAGTTTAGCCAGAGATCAGCATCATGAGCTCATGGAGTCACGAATTGCGTAAATTCTAAATAACGTCCTCAGTTAAATCTCTAGTTCAAAATGGAATCGGATTTAAGAGCCCCGGAGTTTGCTCTAGCTCAGCCTCTCATGCCAGGCACCACACGCCAAAGACCCTGGGGAAGAGAGCCCAAGCCGCGAAAGGTTATCGCCAGCAAACGTCTTCCCGTGGACGCTGAAGATACTCAATAGGACAAGAGCCGAGGAGATGGGACCTTTTGACCACCGCCACGAGAACCCTACCCTGCCTAGCAGGATCGTCATGCGTGATGATGATCGCTGTGGTGTTTGAAGATCAAGGCGTTAGTCTTTCGGGAACACAGGGTTTTGCGAATGGCCTCATTTGCCTCTGTATAAGGCCTCAGCAAGTCGAAAAGACTCGGTACGTCTCTGTAATTCCAAATATCGATCTGAAGCTATCACCAGGTCCAGCAGTAGAGACATGTTAACGGGTACTGCCGAAGATAAAGCTTCCAGAACAAAGTCGAGAACCCACAAAGTCCCCCCACGAAACGGGTCAAGAGCAGGATCCCAGAGTCTAGAACTCGGAAGCGAAGAACTTGGGAATTGTCAGGCGGTGGCAGTGAAAGAGAAACCAACTACTACAGTACTAGTTAGTGGCGAAACCATACGGATACAGTACATGCCTAGCGTTGGAGGAAAGCTTATGGCCCCAAAGCCGAGGGGAGGTAATGAAACATCAGAATGAAACTGGAAGTGATGTGTTGACGGGAGGCAGCTGAATAACTATCGCTTGAACCTTTCGTGAGAAACCATTGCCTTACCGTACCTATCAGAGGCGAGATGAGGCCTGAAAGCGCCAAGTTTTAAGACACGTCCGTTTCTGGCTGTTGTATGTCGTATCTGTATGTGTGACGTGACGTTTGATTAACGGGTGTAGAAAAAGGGAAAAAGGAGTAATTAGAGTTGGCCGTTGCCTCGTCAAATTACGAATGTTGTATTGTATTGGATTGGATCGCGGTGAATGCCGTAGCACATCCATCATTGCGCATCACTTACTCTCAGAGCTTGTTATATTAAAATCACCATGTCCTCTCACTTTCCCGTGGCCAGCACGGCTCTTTCAATTCCTCATCTACCGCGGTAGATCTTCTCCTTCTTCTCTTTAGTACGACATTGGTGTCAGCGTTTTACTGGTTTATTTCAACACCACCCTTTTTGTTGTCTTGCCGTTGGTGGCTATCAATCAACAACGAACCAACCAACGCCAAGTTCATGTTATTGCTTTTTTCTACGAATTGCATATCAAAGAGACATCGACAATTTCTGTGGCTTTCTCTTTCGCATTGTCTTTTCGGCATCAGCGTCGACGTTGCATTGTGGCTTGCTACTCTCTTCGGCACTCACTCATCTCGCGTCTTACGTTACAGAGCGTCGCTTGATGAAGACACCAATTCGGTATTCGGCGTCTTCTCCAACTGAGACATCGCGAGTATTCCCAATACAAGAAACAGAGCCACCAAGACAAGGTAAATTTCACCAACAAACGCCTCCACTTACACATACTGACTCTCGAACAAGTCCCTACACCTACTACCGTGACATCGTGTCACACTTCGCTGAAGCATTACCAGCCAACTCTTCAGTGCAGACATGTGTCGAATGATGATTTTCAGAGGACATTGCACGTGTTGCGACCAGCCTCAGACTTGGGTTGACTTGACCCAAGAACTGTCATGCCTTGAGGCCAAGAACAACGGATGGTTCGGTGGATGTCGGCGAGGTATCCTTGTCGAAGAGCATGATTTCAACCAAGAATGCCCCGTATGTCATGAGGAAGACGAGGGCATTGGAGGCTTAGATGAAAGTCACATAATGCCACTTCAACAGACATCACAAACACAAAGCAGCCTCGGCAAGAGAGCAGCCGGGGACCGAGGAGAATCCAGCGATGGCTCCAAGAAACAGAAGACTTGAACAAAGCGCACACTTATCGGCGTTGGGTTTGCTTTTAGGAACCAGGCATAATGGGACGGGCAGGTTGATTTTCGACTGACTTATCGACGACCAACATATACACCATCTATAATGAGAAGGGCGAGAACAGTGGTAATGAATAATGAACAAGCAAGTTCAGGATCGTCGAGGAAACCATATTCAACGAATGTAATATAGTTATCTATGGGTTCAATAATGTCTATTATATCTACACACAAGAATGAATACCTAATTTAAAACTCTTTCCCTTGCCAAGTCTCTTGAGCAGCCTTCCAGTATCTATCAGCATCAACTCTGACATGAGCGACATGGGCACCTCCAGCAAACTTCTCTGTTCTAACAACAGCGCCATTGTCCTTTGCTTGTTGAGCATGTGATTCAACATCCTCCCAACCAACTGAGAGGTCTGCATCTCCGTAAAGGTATGCCCGCATAGTCTCCCGGCTGATTCTCTCAGGCGTATTGAGAGCCGAGGCATAGGCAGTATGCGGTTCCACACCTAACCATAGTTTGTAGTAGACCCATGCAAAACCCAGAAATACCCAGACAAGGGGAGACAAAAATGGTGGGAATCCGGTTGAGAGGACATGGTGATCTCGTTTCCAGTGGAAGTATCCGGGACATGAGTCCATCACGACAGCATGTCGCGGAATTGGTTTGCCGCCTAGTGAAGTTTCCCACATCTCCCAAAGCGTGGCAGCAGAACTGACACCACCATTGGAAAATATATGGATGAGAAAGCTGGGTGCATCTTCTTGTCCGTTATTGACAGACTGCAGAATTGGTAAAGCTGACTCGAATAGACGACGTCGTAGAGCTGGTTGAATATATAGCTTGGTAGAAGCGCGGAAGAGGAGTATGGCAGATGCTAGGTAGAGCTCGCGATACTGAGAGATGTACTTTGCTATATGAATATCGCGAGCTTCCGACCAAGAAAGAATGATAATGAGTGGAGGATCACCAGAAGTTGTGGTTTTGGGAGTCGTTGGTGTTGACTCAGCGGGCCGAAAATATGATACGGCTGGACTAAGAACATCCATGAAAGCCAACGGTGATGCCTTGGAGGTTGCCATGATGAGGCCTTGATTGAGCTGTTCTGGGTCTGGATGATAAACAGGCTTTGGATTTGGTCCGGCGAGGATATATGTTCGTTTTATACATAAACGATGTCAGGAATCTTGCCCTCCGGGCGATGCTCCGTAATCATCGGCCTATTTGAGGAACCGCGGGCCCCGCTGGGACCGGAGCCGGACGGAGGAACAGAGCCAATGGACCGGAGGCTTTCGGAGACTTTTTCTTACACATGGCAGCAATCATAGGCTCAGACTCTTTAGAAAATAATGTATTATGAGTGATGCCAAGGCTATTCTATGTCGAAACTCATCATGTCTCCAAACTTTCAACAGAGAGAACCTGCTCCTCGATAAAGTCAAAGAATTTCATTGCTTCATTCTCAGCCTTAATCTCATCAACCCTCTTCTTGAAGCTGTCATCTGCCAAGATACGATCGACACCTGACCGCACCGTATCTGGTGTAGGCCTGCCCGTTTTCAAGTTGATCGCAACACCACTCCATTCTCCGCGCATTGCAATCTCTGGTTTGTCCTCAGTCTCACCTGCAAGAACCAAAGGAACACCGTTAGTTACTCCGTGAAGAAAGCCACCATACCCAGCATTCATGACGAACACCGAAGCATGAGGCAGGAGAGCGTCGTAGGGGAGGTAATCGATGACGCGGGTGTTGGAAGGAATAGTGATGTCGTCAGGAAGAAAAGCACCCCTTTGCCCGAGGATTGCTACCACGAGGAGGTCATCGCGGTCAGAGAGGGCCTTGATGGTAGGAATGATAAGGTTGGTTGCGTCGCGAGCAATAGTTCCCTGAGTCACTGCAACGATACGTCGGTCCCCGCGCTTCACATCATCCCACCAAGAAGGATAGGCAAAGTCTGCAGGAATAGGTTTGGGTGTTGCGCAACCTGAGAACTTGACGTTTGAGGGCACATCAGACCGAGAATACTCGAGACTGGGAGGGCACATCTGAATCGAAAGATCATGCATGAGCATCCAATGGTGAAAAGGAATCTGAGGTTCCAGAATCTCAGTGGTGCCAAGACCCTTAAGAACCTCTTCCTGGTGGGCGATAACATCAGCGAAAGGTCCACCAACCATCACCTGATTCATGAATTGATTTCTCGCACGGCCAGACTCTGTTGAGTCAGGAGGAAGACCCGGACCAAAAGGTGCAGTGTCGATGCTGGTAGCCATGTAAGGGATAGGATTCAAGTTGATCACCTTGGGTCGCTTGGTATATCCTTTGGGGAGAGGTCCACCGAGGGAGATAGGATTAGCACCCATAAAGCACGTCTCTGGCATGACAACCACTTCCCTCTCTGGATCCTCAGCTCTGATACCCTCGAGGACTCCCTTGAGGATCCTCCAGCGCTCAGGAGTTTGTCCAGTGAAGATATGTCTGATATCATAAAGAAGTCGAGGAATGCCAGCGGGGATAGCCTCACGTTCTGCCATAAGCTTGGGGTTCACTAGAGGTGGGACGGTAACATGTTGGACGCCGGCGTCTGTGATTGCTTTTTCGAATTGGTCACCGGCGATGAAAGTGACCTCGAAGCCACGCTGGACGAGATCTTCTGCGATTCGAATCAAGGGATATGTGTGGCCGTCCACAGGAGTTGCACCAAAAACAAGATGGGGTTTACTGGTGTTGGTTGGGCCAGTGATTGTTGTCTGCTTGATACCAGTAGCTGTTTTAGCTACATCAGACAGATGGGATGCCATGATCGTGTCAGATAGAGGGAGAGAGGATAGTCAAAGAGAAATTGAGACTGGGTGTACAACAAGAGTTATGAAAGCAACACTCGGGAGACAGGACATTGAAAGAGACCAGATGCGTTCCTTTTATTCCTGGGAAGCATCCTGAGGTAGTCATCATTCTTGATACCATATCTCTCGGCTTCTCAAAGGCCGAGAACCCTGCTGCAGGTATGCTCAGCTACTGGGACAAAATGCAGGCCGTTAACAATGAAAACCAATGAAAGTCCACATTTCCCGAAAACTTAAGCCTCATGAAGCAAGGTTCCAGGACGACCTTCCGGATCTTGATATTGCAGCAAAGCCCCAGAGCTGACGTCTCGATAGATGACCTAGAAATACCCCTATATGCAAGTCTGCTTACTGTAAGACGATCTGAAATCCACAATTGGCAATCCAAGAAGTGTCCAAGCCTCCAGCCCTGCCATCATTTGGTTTCTGAGCCAATGGATCCCAGCACGTTATGGAGTTGAATACGACAAGCGCCGCGCTATCGTGGTAGTGTAGTGGTGCATCAGCCCTATCTCGGCTGTGTAAGATGATGACATCTGCATGCTCTTCCTTGATTCGCCCCCAACCTATACGATATGCGAGTGGATGCTAAAAAAAAAGAGTGAGATTTTCGTTTCACTTCGGAAAGTTCTTGTAGTAAAAAGCTGCGGATAATATGTTAATGTTGCGGAGTTTGGAAGTGCATGTGCACTCAAACCACCGACAACCAATACATTAGAAATGCCAAGCATGAACCAGTATCTTTTATACATATGCCAGGAGGAGGATGGAGCGCGCTCGTCTAGTGATACGTAAAAGACCAGGTTCTGTAAGCGGGTTGCTTTGTCTACAAGGAACTTCAGTCAGTAATGGCTCATTTCGTTGCTGACATGATTGATATTTGAGGTATCAGATCGATAATGCACAGTCTAAGCAGTAGCTTACTATTTTCTAGCAGCGAAACTTAGGACCACTTTCAGAGTTGAATGATTATAGAACAAATTACGTGAAAGTGCAAATGCCATAGTGAGGTTGCTTAATACAGAGCCAAGTTTCAGATTGGCAGCCTCGCAGTAAGCTTGCGAGAATTAGTCAGCGCAGTGTCTTGTTTCTCGTTTATCCTAACCAGTCGGTAACTCAATTATTCTGCTATGACATTCTCTTGAAACCTGGAAACAAGACTGAGTGATGGTGGATGTAGCACCGGATCTCGGGGTCTTATTCGTTGAGTCCCAATATCTTGTTCTCTTCGGGAGCCTGCAGGACATTCGTGTATCTCCGCCATGGAGCAGATAACGAAAAGCTCGTTTATGGGCTCTGTATATGATCAGACTTGGTCACGTATAACCCTGCGAACTGTGATCTGCGAGATCTGGGTGCAAGCAACGACATGAAGTAGCAGGATATTCTTATACGAAGTTTCACATCAATTGCATCATCTACTTACCAAGTTCATAGTTAGGTTGGTATGTCAGGCATAGAAGAAATTTGATCTCAGTCCAAAGAAGGACATAATATCACTGACCATGACCCTTTAGTATGTTTACGAGATAACTAAACCTCGATCCCCAAGCTATTTGAATATGAAAATCTTCTAATCAGATGAGCCATGGAAGTAAGGTATATATAGGTATCGTCTAGGACTGATTCGAGGTACGCTGCGTCATAATAGGCAGAAATATTGTCTTTTCAGCGAGTCTCCTATTGTTGTTGGACCTTCCACGCTATGTAGCCGAGCCCAAGAAGGAAGGCACCTCCATGGCAGTGCCAAGAGAGGTGCCTGCCTTGATGCACAGGTAAACCCCGTTTCAATATTCTCGAGGGTTTTTGAAATCACATTTTATCCCCTGTATCAACAACCTCACCGTTCCTAACCTCCCCCGATAACCTTACAGCTCAAGTGCTCATTGTCAAGATGAGATCGCTTCACTTTATCTTCATTCTCCTCGCCATCATCACATGCCCTGCTTTTGCGGCCGTGGCTGCCAATGAGGTTGCTCAGGCACACTGGGATATTTCAACTTCACTCAACGGCTTCTCCTTTGAACGAGCCAAGCCTATCTCTGCCAAGACTATTGACCGCACCGGTGTTCGAATGTCACGACTCAAGAGCCTCAAGCACAAGACTGACTCCTATCCGAGATCTGCTCTCTCCCATCTCACACGAACTCATCTCGCAACAGCCGGAAAGGGTACCGTCCCTCACAAAAACATTTCTGCTGTCGGGAGCTTCTCCACTGCGTATGCCATTCAGTGCACCTGGGACGACGCCCCCGTTTGGCTCATCTTCGACACTGGAAGCTCTGATACTTGGGCCGCCAAGACTGGATTCACCTGTGAGGATGCATCCGGTAACGTGAGGAAAGCCCAATCTCCATGCAGTTTCGGTCAACCTCATATCAAGAGCTTCCTTCACGATATCTCTGAAGTCTACTTTCATCGCCGTTATGGTTCTGGAGAGGATGTATCAGGGCCCATGGGGGTCTCTGATATCGCTTGCGGTGGCATTTTGGTCCCCAAACAGCAAGTCGGCTTGGCCAGTAGAGCCTATTGGCGTGGCGACAACACCACCGTTGGTATTCTAGGCCTTGCCTATTCATCTCTAACAAGCGCCTATCTCGGTGACCCCAACGACACATCCGATGAATCTGAATGGAACAATTACCCTTACTCGCCTTGGTTCACCACAGCTATCTCAAAGGGCGTGGTCGATCCTGTCTTCAGCGTCTCTATCGAAAGAAACACCAGTGATGGTGTCCTGGCCTGGGGTGGCCTTCCTCCTATGCCATGGGGACCCAAGTCATTCGCAGCAACAGATCTCGTCATTGTCAGTTGATCCGGCAGGGATTGGGTTTTCTTAACGTTCATGTTTCTGACAAACTTACAGGCCAAACTAGTTGAGCGAGAGAAGACTGGCTGGGAACCGTCTTTCTACACCATCATTCCTGATGGCTTACAATGGGGAAGCACAACAGACACGGCAAAATACCCCTACATCGTTGACACTGGGACCACAATGATGCATATTCCTCCTCGTTAGTCAGCCTGCTTCACATTCCTGATGTTTACTGACAGCCCTAAAAGCACTGGCTGAAGCCATCGCCAAAGCCTTCCAACCCCCAGCCACATGGATGTTTGAGTGGAGTGCCTACTTTGTCGATTGCAATGCCATCCCTCCTCATTTTGCGGTCATCATCAAAGGGGTCCGGTTCTGGATCAACCCAGCTGATCTGATCTATCAAGATTTCACCGAACCGGTGACTGGAAAATGTGCAATTGCAATTTCGACGGGAGGATCTGGGCCATATATCTTGGGAGACCTGTTCTTGCAGAACGTTGTGGCTGTCTTCGATGTGGGTGGCGCAGAGATGCGCTTCTACTCCAAATAGCTGTCCGTGTCTAGGAAGCCTGTCACCTAAGAAGCAAATAAGGGGTGTAACCCTGTAGAGGCAGAATGTCAAAGGTGTAAAATATACTGGTTGAAGCAGAAATTGTTGCCATCATGCATTCAGTGCTTCCATGAATAAGTCATAACATGATCGGTCAGCTAACGCTGGCGTATGAAGCAAGATGTCTCTGCCCAGGGGTTCCAGGGTGGAGACGCCCATAGAACTACAGATACGAGTAAGGATGTTGTCTATATGAATCTAGCTCCCTAACCTAAGACTAAATGCATAGGTAGGTAATCACTCGAGTTCCAAGCTCCAAACAAGTTTGATATTGGATGCTTTACACTGGCAGCACATGGCATTGTGCTGATCTCGATACCCCTGGATGTACAAGAGGGGCCACACACCACTGCAACAAAAATGGGGTAATAATGTAAGGCCAGTGGACTGGTCTTAGATACATAATCCAGAACAGAAACTCTAGTCCTCAGCAAAATATCAGCCAAGAGCCTGGCTGTTTTTATTCTTTTTATCTTTTCATGTAGAATCGGCGGGCGTTGAGGGCTTGGATTCATGTCTGTTCTTCTGGGCTGAAATGCTGGCTTCTGCCTCCGCGAGTAGACGCGGACGCTCTGCTCTCCTCGGCAATTTTTATTGCCAAAATTGTATTGAGAAGAATATTGTCGACTTAAATTTCCAGTTCACAAAGTTTGAAGGGGTTTCGATCCAGATAGAAACGACAGTTGGTACTTCAAGTATTAGGGGGCCTCTTCTCCATTGCCACTTATACAGCGTCATCTCGTGATGACGGTATCAGTCAGCGCAGAGTAACCCTTAGCTTTATCCTTAGGTTTTCACTACTTGTGAATAAGAATCAACTGGCGCGTGAGACACCAGGAACTGATGCGCGAAGCCCGGCGATTTCTTACTCCATGAACTGCTTTCTGTGTATGTCAATATCTACACCAAACAAGAGGAGACAAGAGAACTTAGGGACCTCTTTGCTAAGGGACAAAAATACTAAGAAGATTTACTATGAACTTGATAGATTTTTAGACTGACTGTTTTTGACACCTTAATTTAGAGCCAGAAGTTTTCTTGCTCTGAGGGCCAGAGTCTAAGTGAAATTCTCAGCGAAAAGATCCAATACAAACACCATCGTGTATCTGCAGTGGAACGTGATTCGTCGTGTGATGTTAGGTGGGATTCTTATCGCGATAACCCGCAATGGAAGGTAGTCCGTGGTAGTTATCCTGCTGTTTCTAGCTGTCATCCATCTTCACACGTTCACGATTGCCTCCATCGCAAGTCAAGCATTCGACTCCAGTCACAAGACTCGACTTAAAAGACATCCTGGACTGACACATCCCATCCTGTTGGGTTCAGATACTGGATCACCAGAGAAAAAACCTTACCACTTCAACATTTGTCATCGACGTCTGATATTACGGGCCGAAGCACAAGAAAATTATGAGAGGTGTCGCAGCTGGACCTCCGTCACCTGTACGGACAAGGGGTCGTGCAAACACCTTTGCCTTTAGCAAGGTACGAGATAAAACATTTCTTTGATTCATTGTTAGTGTTCAAGCGAACGAATCCGATCCACCAAATTTCGTTATCGTGAGGCCGCAAGGCGGTGTAAGGGCAGCACCACAACACAACAGAAAGCCGCAAAAGCAACTAAACCTGGGGTGAGGGGACCCCACGTTCGAAAAGTCTGGGAGCTTGGGGGAGAAAGAGCTTCAAGGTGCATCTACCATCATATCACAACGTCAAATCGAATGGAAGACGGGTCAGAAGATGGATGACCCCATATATAACATGCGTTGGAAATGCAAGCATCGGCCGAGAACGTACCCCAGGAACCGGCACCTGGAGACTTTCAAAAAGCAATTGCAAGTCATGATATCGCAGCAACACGATGCGACACGATACCAGTGGTGCCAATTCGGACAGACCCGGAGCTCAGCATAGGTCTCGTGAGCGGCAGCTGGTGGCGGTTCCTGCAGCATAGTTGCATCCAAACAGACGGGCCTAGGCAAACAGTTGACCGTGAATTGAGGCTGGCGGCCCGGGTAAGAGCACGGGACAAGTGTGATGAGATTTGGATCTATCAATATCCACGCCAATGCCAATGTCAATGCCTGTTTACTGGAGCTGACTCGGTTCTGGGCTCGGCGTCTTGTCGGTGTCTGGGTGAAATGCCTAAATTCACACAATCAGGGGCAATATTTTCAATGGCTACTGCACATCCTCAACACCATCTTTCTAAGCCTTTGACGCCGAAGATTGCCCTCAAATGCCTGGATATCTGGTCGCCGTCTCCGGGACCATGCCGGGAGGATCCGGAGGCAGGTCACCATGAGACAGCTGCAACGAGAGTTGAGCTAGCGGCTACGTAGAGGACTCTACAGGTCTCTGGCAGCTCTGCGGCTTTCCTCCCCCACCATCTGATCGGCAAACGGAAATGGAAATTTTACAGAGTGGAGGTTCCCCCGGTAAGAGGCCGGAAGGAACATGAAGTCAGGTTCAGGGGTGTCTTTGGAGCACCCGACCTTCTGTCCTTCCCCTACAGGACCGTCTCCGAGTCACCTTACAGGGCGTCTCAACCGTCCCGGGGCTCTACAGACACGCACGGCGTCCATCCGAGCGGCGGCGGGGGAGGTTTGACCCGCGACAGTGGATCAGAAACGCGGGCTTTAGCGGGGCAACGACGTAATCCCATTGGCCTGTCTCCATTCCATCGTCATTCATGATGGAGCCACGACCTTGAGAAAGACGATGCAAGCCGCATGCTCAACATGATTTTTTTTCTTTCGTGTTTGTGATGGAGCAAACTCGGTTACCTTGACTAAAGGATAGGCATTTTCTTCTTTCTATAGCAGCGATAAGCTGTACCGTATCAAGTGTGATACTCAGCTGGTTGGGTCCCTCTCTTAGCCTCAAAATCGACTCCATCTTCATCCCGAGCTACCTTACCTTACCTTACCTTAGCTACCTGCACCCTTACCTTACTTCACCTTGGACTTCTGTCACTTGACCTCTCTTATCCTCTTTGACCTCCTGTCCCCTTGGACTATTCGCTACCCCAGGCACGGCTTGCTACTCTATAGAGCAACTAGTTAAAGCAGCTGCTGTCCATCCATCTCAATTTCTTTTCCTTTCATCCATAGACCGCTCGCTATTCGACCCCTCATTCTATCCCCCACTTCATCTTCAGACAGCTTCTCCCCGAAGTCTTGGTTCCCTTGCCCCGGGTGCCTTTACTGCAGATCACATCAAATTCATCTGAATCTTGCTCTTCTCGACCAGCTCAACTTTGGTGCTGCATATACAGACGGGTAGAGCTTCGACTGCCTCTATTTCCTGCATCGAGCAAAGTTGCATTGAGGCCACTCAATTAGGATCAATTCGGCGTATCATTGACGTGAATCTACTCCGTTGGGAAGGAACATACCATCCATCTACGTGCCGTGCCCTCCTCATCTGATCTCAACTGGCTGGCTACCTTCGGATCCAGTCGTCGGAAAGAACTCACCCAGCTCCTTCGTTTCTCCTCACTCACCCTCTGGTCTACCTCGGCTCACACGACCACTAACATTCTGACTCCTACATTCTATCACTCGTCTTCGATTAGACTACCGTCATTCCAATCTCATCCTCTTCTTTGTTTGATGCCTCTGCAGTATTGGAGCTTCATCAGATTTGATCAGTGCCTGGCTCTCTTTTGTGAACCTTGATTGCTCTGCTCAGTAGCAGTCGCATTCAATTTTACCGCCCAACCAACTTACACCCCATTTGTCGCAAATCATCAGCCACGATGCCTTCTCGAACTAACGGTGTCGGCGTTCAGGCCGAAGATACCAGGATCTGCGTGGTCATGGTCGGTCTACCAGCCCGAGGCAAGAGTTATATTGCCCAAAGAGGTAGGTTTTATCTCTATCTGCATCTGCATCACGCGCCATCATAGCTGACCAACATCTCAGCCCAGCGATATCTTCAGTGGCTCTCCATCCCTGCTCAGACTTTCAACGTTGGCAACTACCGCCGCAATGATGCACCACAACCCACGGCCGATTTTTTCGATATCAACAATCCGGAAGGAGAACGCACCCGCCGTGCTGCCGCTGAGGCTGCTGTTGCCGACATGCTCGCCTGGTTCCGGTCTGGCGGCATTGTTGGTATTCTTGATGCTACCAATTCTACTCTGGAACGCCGCAAATGGGTCCTGGAGGTCTGCAACGAAAACGGCATCGAGGTTCTCTTTGTCGAGAGCAAGTGTGACGACGAAGAGCTTATCATGGCCAATATCCGAGACGTCAAGACTACCAGCCCGGACTACCGTGGACAGGACCCTGAGACTGCCGCCCTCGATTTCCGTAACCGCATTCGCAACTACGAAAAGGTGTACTGCACCATTGACGCTGATGGCAAAGAGTCTCACCTGACTTACCTCAAGATCATGGATGTGGGTAAGCAAGTCATTATCAGCCGTATCCGAGATTATCTCCAAAGTCGCATTGTGTACTATCTCATGAATCTGCACATCCGTCCTCGTTCAGTTTGGCTATCAAGAGTAAGAACAATTCTGTTGCGCGCTCAAATCAACCACTAATAATCCTTGTAGCACGGTGAATCCTTGTATAACATTGACGGAAGAATTGGCGGTGATACGCTTCTCTCTCCTCGTGGTGAACAATATGCCAGAAAACTTCCTGAGCTCGTCCGAAAATCAGTTGGTGTAAGTTCAGCCTCACCCTGAACATTTTTTCTGTGGCTAACACTGTGTAGGACGATCGACCACTCACAGTATGGACCTCAACTTTGCGACGTACTATTGCTACTTCTCGTTTCCTTCCACAGCACTATAATCAACTCCAGTGGAAGGCGCTCGATGAGCTTGACTCAGGAGTATGTGATGGCTTGACCTACCAGGAGATCAAGGACCGATATCCCGAGGACTTTGCCGCCCGTGATGAAGACAAGTACAACTACCGATATCGTGGCGGAGAGTCGTATCGCGATGTTGTTATCCGCCTTGAACCCATCATCATGGAATTGGAGCGAAGTGAAGATATTCTTATCGTCACCCACCAAGCTGTGCTACGATGCATATATGCATACTTCATGAAGAAGGACCAGTCTAAGAGCCCTTGGATGAACGTGCCCCTACATACCTTGATCAAACTTACCCCAGGAGCCTACGGTACCGAGGAAGTCCGCTATGAGGCCAATATTCCTGCTGTCAGCACCTGGAGAGGCAAGGGTAGCACCGCTAAGCACGAGAACCCAGCCCCTGGTGTCATGTAATACGATAGACAACATTGTCAAGTTTCGCAAGGGTCCTACGACCTGTGCTTGAGTATACGGCGAACATGCGCCCGGTGGATGACTGTTACGATTTGAAATGAGCGTGCATATGGAACAGATTTAGGGGTATGACGACACGGTAAAGCATTTTTGAGGGGCATTCTATGACTACTTGCTATGAAGAGGACAGCTCGTACGATATCCGCAGGAACTTAGGGTTCGGGAACAAAAACATACACGGCATAGTGTCACGAAAGACACAATTGTAGGGCTTCGGTAGGGCTCTGTACAGGATCAACGGCGTTCTTTTACTATTTGTCTGATAGCGGATCAGGCTGGATAATGACTAGCGTCTCTATAAAAGTGACATCAAAGCACATGACCATAACGAATTACAAACTCATGATAGCTAGATATGAGAGCAATTGTGCGTTCAGTGAACTGAAGTTGAGCATTGCGGGCAGTTGAGGACAAATTTAAACTATTGTGGCAATGCTTGACATGGGGTTGCAGGTTTTGTAATCCCCGGTTTAGGATGTTGTTGTGTCCCGGCTAACAACTAAGGTGCCTTTTACTGTCCTCATAATATCCAAGATTTCGGTTCCCTTAACTCATATTTGGGACGATAATCTACCAGTACAATAAATCGCGAGAACGACTGGGAGATGGACATGATGAGGTCATTAATGAACATCATCTCCCCAACTGATAATTGCCAATCGATCGTCCAACAGCCGACCATCGTACAAAGTCTGTAGGATCCTGCGCCGATTATGGCATCAGAGAGCACCTCCTCAACATCCCCAGCAATACCTCATCAGGCTCGCCGGGGTGGAGACCGCGGGGAAAGAAGGGCAGGGTGCGCCGGTAGTTGCTCGGTGGGGTCGATTTGTGTACCGACCCAAAGTGTTGGAGACTCATCGAGGTCAAATCGACCTCTTATACGGCGTCCATAAAAAGGGCCTTTCATGTCCTTCAGCCTTTCCTGAGCTGTTCATATTGATATCTTCTGAATCCTCTGAAGACATAGTGGGCGATGTGCGCTCCAAACCTACCATGACCACCAGATTTGGCCTTACAGGGCAGAATGTCCAGAAGCATAGGTAAGATACTGGCTTGCGCGATTTTCCGTAGTGGCTTCACTCATTATGATCGTGTGAGCTTTCATTCGATTGTCCCGTAGAACTTGGCATGTGGTGCGAGGCGCAGTCTGTGCCGGTATTGGTGTCAGATTTCCAGACTTCCTGTTTTGGCTGATTTTCTTCGGTACTTTGTTGTTTCTTTGAAACCATCTTCTTGGTCAAGGATGGAGTTTGTGATCGGGATCCTTCGCGGCGCTTCTCTCTGCTGCGTGTGGTCTTTGACATTGGCCAAGAACGACGGAATCTTCCAGTAGTTGGTGCAGTCACACTGGGAGCTGCAGGTGCACTGTACCGAGATTGTAGCTGGTGGAGGAATGTGTGGTTGGGATTGTCATGGCAAGTGCAGCGACAAGGAGCGAGGTTGGGCCCGGAGGCCTTGACAATCTTGGCAATGAGCTCGGCCATGGACAATTCGATATGAAGTTTGACGAGATATGCAAGCGGGTGAAACTCGACGTATCTAACACGACGATTAGCTGATAGACAATACTCGGGATTTTTAACATACAGAAAGGTATTCCGTAGTGACATTGACCCAATGATCAGAATCTGTTTCAGGTGTCAGCCGGCTGGTAAATGATGTTTGGCAATTCAGACTCACATCCATCGAGATGGAGACGACTACCATCATCAGGTTGAAGCGATACAACACCACATACTTGGTTAGACCGTATGATATGAGGGACGAGCGGACAAGATAGACAAAGTAGAAGTTCAGAGCCAGGTCAATAACCGCAAAAATTCCTTTCTCGATTCGGTCCCAAACGTTATTGATGTCGATATAGGTCTGGCTAATCTGCAGTCGAGCCGGTATCCAAATACAAAAGACTGAAATGTTAATAAGTGCCAGGATAATAAAGATTCCCCATTTTAGTCGTCGAACGATGGTCGGCGAAACATGGAGGAGGGCTATTCGGTTGACAATGATTTGCATAATGCAATGGATTTGAAATACCCAAAGGAGCACTGTAGAGATTAGCCCGGGGCTGCAAACTTGAGCCAGCGAACATACAGATGAAGAAGTATATTAAGAACCTAGAAAGTATTTGGTTAATCATTGAGCTTGAAGATGGAGATGAGCAGCCAAGACTCACCCTGGACGAATAGTTCCTCGAACATAACCCCAGCCAAGACCTCCAATAATGGCGCTGGAGACCAATTCAAGCCATATTAAAACCATATACGTTGTAATTCTTTGCGCGCGTTTCCATTGATGATAAGTTTGAATGCCCACACGAATGAGACCAAAAATTGCCAGACACAGAGTCATGCCAAAGGCGATGCTGACAATGGCCCAGTCAGAGCAACTTGGCTCATGGTATTCGAACCATGGTGGAATAAGCAGCCCGCCCCCCTTCATTGTATCATGGCTACCGACCTGATCAGAGGTAAGAGGTTAGATGGTTGGTGAGTGGTGCACACGATTGAACACCAGTTAGAAATGTTGGCTTGATCTCGAGGTTTTGTAGCAAGGGTCTCGGTTTGTCAAAGCCAAAAGACCAAGTCGAAATCAATTTCGAATGCCACGAAAATGTTGTAAGAAGCAAAATACGATCCCCACGCCACCGAGTCTTCGATGTCCGTATCAGGGCATTTCTGCACTGCACGGCAAGCTGAGGGTTTGTCGAGGAGGCGGGTTACGCGGAACAGAAGGACCGGTGCAATGCACGCTGTAGTGGTAGCGTCGTCCAGAGGCTGATCCTAGACTAAAGACTGGACGTTGAGGACGTGGCGCTCCTGTTGTGGAAGTCCGATGGCCCGGGTGTGGAGGGTTAGTAACTTTTAATATCACCTGCCGAGTGGTGTCTCACGGTGAAGGGGATGTTGCTTGTCACCGCTTCGGTTGAGCTTTTCTTTCCTGTAGGGATAGAGCCCAGCTCCAACAACAGAGCTGCAGGGAGGAGGATAGAGGGCCCTTTTGTCCATTCACCACCATTGACTAGTCCACGGCATTGTAATTGCCGAGACATCTTGTTAAGCGCATTCGTGACATTTGAACCAGTGATTTCCTGGCCATTGGCGTCTTGTTATGTCATTATCCTTAGTCCGCTCCACAGCAATGGAACAGTAACACCTCTAACGCTGCTCAAATTGGTGGATGATGGCTTGAACGGTAAGAGCCTCGCCAAAACAGCAAGCGATCGATAGAGTTTATCGGGCGCGGGGTACTTGCTTGGTGAGGATAAGGCCAAGCCAAGGCAATGCACGAAGGCCCGTCGATCTTAGTGTGATATGATACGTCAGAGGCAGCTGCTAGGATCTGTCTCTGCCGTCACTCAATTGCCGAATCTAGATTCGACAATCAGAGCGATTTGCGCTAGGCCAATGTTTATTAAACAAGGGAGAGTGGTTGGGTTGGAGGATGAAGAATTTGATATTGGACATGCAATTCTTTCAAGGGAGAAGTTAATTTCGATGTCGACCATTCCATTTGGGCAGGAGCTGGTCTCTGTCGGTTATTGAAACACAGGGCAGGCGCGAATAGTGGCACTTTCCAAAGGAACAGTGTGCTTTTGTCATCTGAAAAGTATCATATCATATCCACCTACAAAGTGGTGCCAGTTCAAAGATTAATGGCCATTGGAAAGTTGATATACATATATTTAAGACGCTTGCTATTGTGTCTCACTACTGGCTATCGATTCAAGCCCTGAGTGCTTCGTCCACCTGTCAAACGCAATCATCTCAACAACTCACCTAGGTACGCTTGAGGATGATACGTGAAATACACTATCTACCCATATAGGCTATTAAAAAGAAGCAAGATAAAAGCTGTGAGCCTTATTAGTGCATTTAATCACGAGCTGGACTCAGCTGAATGAGATGTGTTCGCAGAGGCTGAACAGTGTATAATTGCCACGGTGTAGTGAGTGACACCAAGCAATAGCCATCAACACCAAGCATATCATCACGAACCCAATTTGACCACCGTGACTAAACGGCCCATCGTCGTACCATTTCATGTATTTAAAGTAGGAAATTCTACCAGAAACCATGATGCCTTATCTGTCAACCCCCATTACCCCAAAGCTCGACAACTATGGCTTTCCTCTTTCAACCCCCCATCTTTGGGAACTACGTCCTCCCGATAGTTCCCATGAATGTACCTACGACGCTGGTTGTTCCAACACAAGTCGCAATAACGCCTGTTCAGATCGTTCCAGTGTATCGACCTATCTTTTCTCCATCCATCAGGATCAAGGTCATATTCCACTGTGCAGGAACTGTTCTCGCCTCTAACGATGCCTGCTACAACTATCTTCCACCTCGAGAAACAGTGCTAGGAAATTTATCCTGGTGGTCTGAACAGCATGGACTTGGAGATAAAGCTTATACCCGACGTTGTACACTCTATCTCACCAGAAGCAACCGCTCAACCCTCACTATTAACCCAATAGATGGACCTGTTTCACCACCAGATCTTGTGAAGAAGGTGTCATTTGGCGATATGACAGCCCTAGATTTCCAGACGTTGATGATGGACACAGCAACAAATAACTATGGAGCCTTTATCTTGGTCGATGTAAGTGCATCTGCTAGAATGAAGTAGTTATGGAGAAAATGGAGATAGCTCATGGAATTCTCTAGCATGCTTATGTGCCTATTAAGATTCTGGCCCAACAAACCGATAACGATCAGAGTACTCCCCCGAGCGGAAATTCAAATGACAACACTGACAGTAACCAAAATAATTCGACTGACGACACTCAGCCTGCTCCTCCTGTCGTTCGTCAACCTTCTTCACCACCGCCAGACTCATCAGCGGATGCGGTCAATACTGACACTCCTGGGCCTTCGCACACGAGAGATAATACCACCGCCCCTGAGCCAGCTGCATCAACAAGTAATACTACTCCAGCGGGAACTGGATCTGTTCCGGGACCTACGCTCCCTAAAGTTGCAAGCGTGGAGCCTGATAACACGGGAGAATAAGGGGGGTTGCAAGCGGTCAAGCAGTGACTAGATATCAAGTATTAGACCTCCTCATTCTAGTTTCTTCTGAATTCATTGATATCATCTGAAGCCCTTGAAGCAAACTGAACCTCTCAAACTGTGACTGTGATCGTGTGTTGTTTGGAAGCATCTCAGCCAAGTTGTCACTGTCAGCCCCTGGCCAGCTCATATTCACACCAACACTCGCTCGTTTCGGCGTGCTGATCAGAAGCAAAGCATCTATCTCACTGAATAAGAGCCGAGCTTCTGGCACAGTAGTTATAACACGACCCCTCACTTCAATAGCATCTCAGGTGGCCTGAATTACACACAACACCTCCTCTTCCTCAGGCTTCTCATCATCGTTATCTTCGCCTCATCTCACTGTTTCCTTCAAACTCTGAACATCAGAGTAACCAAGCGCCATGGATCTGTTCATCACTGCCCAAGAGCCCTTTGCGCATCATCCACTCAAGGCCAAAAGCTTCCCTTCAGCTCTTAGCAACTCAACCGACAAATCCTCAGGTGATGCAAGACCTCTTGTGTCTCTCCCGCCAGTTTCACAGCTCGAGTTTGATCTCATTGTTCATGATCCCTGCCATGACAGCACTCTCACTGGCTCGTGGGACCCTCTCCCGACCCCTCTGAGCATTCCTCTCAATACCTCCAGGGTTCATCTCCTCAACCTCCTACGGGAAAAGCTCCCTGTCGTCGAGGCATCCAGCAAGAATCGTCTCAGTCGCCAAGTTCGCCGTCCCAGGCTCATCTCTGCTACGCTGTACTAGACCTATGGTGGCAAGATTTACCCGCTTGGACCTAGCGACAAGGAGTGGCATTATCGTGATCTCGTTACCAAGACAGATATCATGGCTCGCTCTGAGCTTGAGTGGTTTCTTCTCAAGGAGATGATGGCTTCGTCTAGAGGTGCACTCAAGTGCTACATCTCCGTCCGTGGTGAGCACGTCCCCCCCAAGAAGACTTCTGGCTGGTGGTTCAAAAACAGTGCCTGAGAGCACATACTCCAGTATGTTCACTCATGTCGATCTCCGACCAAGCGTATTGAGTACTGATTGAGTAAAAGGACAGTGACACCAACATTACGATGAAGCTGGACGGCCGGCGAGGTGCACTTTGGGGGCAAGGAAAGGATATTTGTTGGAACTTGATGTATGCAATAAGAGCAAGAATATTCCACGAAAGGGAACTAATACGATAACATCATCTCATTTGCTCATAGAATTGCTAGTTGCCTCGTCTAATGCTGTCTCATCACAAGCGGTACAAGATATCAACAGAACGCCCGTAAAGGATAAGATTTCTCAGTGGCCAATGCCCGGAGAGATTGGTTCATGTTAGATTGCTCTGAATCACTTCTGTTTCTTGTAATATCGGCTTTTGGGTTGTACTCTGTGTTACAGTGAACCTCTGCCCCAAATGTTGCTTTATCAGACACTCATTAACATAACCATCAACACTAAGATAAAACAAAGACTTAGACAGACAGACAATTCGAATTAACATCGTAAAGACCAAACTCCATATTTAGCCTAGGTATAATCTGAATAAACCCATGATCCTCGCGCCATCAGACTGCTCATAAGTCAACACAACGCAACGCAACACAGCACGGTACGGCACAACCTCAGCTCCTCTCCCCCGTGATTTTGGTCTTTAGCTCTTAAATTAACACGACCATTGACAACAACAGTATGCTCGACCAATCCACCAGTGTCTCCAAACTCCCCCCTCCGTATACACCAAGTTACTTGCTGAGCGTCCTTTTCAGATAAATAAACAAGATAAAGGCAAATGCAGATGACAAAAACAAGTAAGGGTAGCCAAGACTTTCGACGCCAGCCTGTGCCCCAGGCCCCTGTAGTCGTACAAGAGTACAAGAGTGGGTAACTTCAACCACTTTACCCAAATTAATCCCCTGATCTCCCCTTTCCCCTCTATTGGTGGGCTTTGATGCTCAAGAAACAGGCCCATGACGATGTCGTTTACTATCATTATGTGCATGTTCCAACATGCGTGGGTCTCGTCATCCGTGTCTCCAATTCACTGCCCAGATACAGGTGACTGAACAGTGAAAAGTGTGCTCCAAGAAGGGGCCTCCCAAGAGCATCAGTTATGCATTGACAAACATAGCCAAGATTGTATGTGTGTGGAAATACACGCCGTTCAAAATACCTTCATTCTGTCACAACAAAATATCTTTCCCACAGACAGGCCTATAGCAAAACCAAATACGAAGTGACGCCACCATGCAAAGTGATGCTGAATAAAACACTCAAAAATCTGGCTGTGCGAGATGATGAAGTAGCCCATCCCTTACTGGGCCGGCGGGTTTCCCTTGAGACGCTTTGGCATCCTTGGTGTAGGTGGTTTGGCATTACGTGGCATTCCATTGGCAGCAGGCGTAGGTGCTCCAGATCCATCCTCCTCTTTCACTGCTGATGGCCGTCGGCGCTTGTTTGAGGCGGGGGATGTGTTTGCACTGGGGCCGCTAGAGCCAGTACCCTGCTGACTTTGCTGCATCTGCATTCCGGGGGCTTGCATGTGTCCAGGTGCTGGGCTGCCCATGTGTGGCGATCCAGGGAGATTCATATGAGCCACGGCTGGGCTTGCACCCATGGGAAATTGTCCGAAGCTCGGTGTGCGGGCCCCGGGGGGCATTTGTTGACCGTTCATGTTGGGTGGAACTCCGTTGATCTGTGTCGAGACGTACTGATCGAGGGCTTGGTACGGGCCAAGGCCGGGGTTCGAATGGTAAAATTGGAATAATGGGTTCATCTGTCCCATCACTTCAACAATCTGGACATTATTCATTAGCGTCACTCTTACTTACGCTGAGTGAGCTGTCCCTACCTCAAGAAACTGGAAGACAGCTTCCGTCACACCCTTGCTGTTGACAGCCGAGTCCGGCAGGTCGACTAGGACCTCTGGTGGCTGGGTTTGAGGTGACTTCAACTGTCGACCCTTGCCCTTCTTAGATAACTCGGGTGATTTGCCATCCTGTGAGTTAGTTTTGTGCCATTCCTTCATCCACATATGGGCGGGCTTCGCGGCATCGATGACCTGTTTTCGTGAGATGAATTCGTCATGACTCGTGGTGAGGAACTCGAAAAGTTCGATCTTTTGTTCAGCGTCGAATTGTGCTCGGAGCGTACCACTAGCGACCAACTATCACCATGTTAGTAACCCATTGACTCAGACCAGTCAGAATGTCTTACGTGAGATCCAGTCTCGAACCAATAAACGAAACTGGCCTTCGAATTCTCGATGCAGTGACAATCGCCAGGAAGAGGTCGATCTGTCACACCCTTATCCATGATCAACTGCATATTCTTCACGCCACTACCGAAATGAGTGTGAAAGTATCGAGCAATGGCGGGATAAGCGATTTCATATTGCTTATCGGTCGTATCCTCGGCGTCGGTGATATGTAATGAATGACGAAAGACACCATTTGGTGAGAAGAAGCGCATCACAAAGCCGTGCCAGTAGGAGAGGTCATCTCGGCCTTTTGAACCCTAGAGATCTCTTGTTAGCTTGTCATAGAGGACTCCATCACGATATATCTTACAGGAAAGCCACTCAAGTGTTCGCTGAATTGCATCAGCTTTAGTAAGCACTGGCCCTTCATGCTATCTCGTCGCTGCTGCTGGAGAATTTGGCTTTGAATTGCGAGTTGCTGCGCGGTAGTGGCGCTCATCTGATGCTGCTGAGGCTGGGCTTGTGGCTGTGGTTGTGCCTGTGCCTGGGGCTGAGGCTGCGGTTGAGCTTGTGGTTGAGCAGGAGTTTGTGGTACCTGGGGTTGGCTCTGTCCAGGTGGAAGTTGGGATGGCTGAGCAGGAGTTGAGCTGGGCGTTTGAGCTGGTGTTTGAGGTCCAGTGGGAGCGGGTGTACCAGCCTGTGATGATTGCTGAGGGGTGTGCTGAGGCTGTTGCTGGCCAGGCTGCTGTTGCTGCTGTTGTGGTTGGGGTTGAGGCTGAGGTTGTCCCTGGGGTTGTTGGCCCTGTTGGTTGGCCATCTGATTTTGAAGAGCGAGCTGATTTTGCTGCATAGCTTGCATGCTCTGAGCGTTCATCGGCATCGGTTGACCAGGATTAGGCCCAGCTTGCATTTGCTGAGCATGAGCAACCTGTTGTTGTTGCTGCTGCTGCTGCTGTTGCTGTTGCTGTTGCTGCTGCTGCTGTTGCGCTTGATGTTGTTGCAGAGCAAGCTGCTGGGCCATAATCGCTTGTGCTTGTGGATGCTGTCCCTGATTTGTTAGCTGAAAAGACGCGAATGGCAGCATGGTTATCTATTGACTTACCGGAGCCAGACCTCTTCTGAGTTGATGGAGCTGCTGAGGGTTGAGCTGGCTAAACTGAGCCATGTTCATAGGAATACCGCCACCCTGCATGTTGGCTTGGAAGGCTTGTTGAGCCATGAGTTGTCGCGCTTGTTGTTGCTGAAGTAGGTGTTGCTGCTGCTGTCGCATCGCAGCCATCGCTTGCGGATTACCAACTGTGAATGAGCCAATTAGCGCTTGCACAGGGACAGGGATGTTGAGGACAGTGCCAGTAGGGTATTACATACAATGTTGTTGCTGGAGCTGTTGCTGAAGCATTTGCTGCTGCGCGGTGGGATTGAGGTGCTGCAAAGCATGAGCATTTGGGTTCGCACCCGGCGGCATACCGCCCATGAGGGCAGGGTTTACTTGTGCTCCGGGAGCAGAGACCATAGGTCCTCCGAATTGATGAGGCATTCCCCCAGGAGCGCCTTGCTGGCCTGGGTTGTGAGGCATGCCACCAGGTCCCATAGGGTGGCCGGCGACACCTGGATGCCCCATGCCAGCAGGATGCCCAGAGAAATTTGGGCCCATACTTGTTGCCATCATGACTAAGTAGTCGGGTCGATTATCCACGGCGTGGATATCGACGATCGCGTTGAAATACTATCGCATACGTTGAACGATGGGAATGAAGTGAGGTTGCCAGACGACGCGAATGGGTGCGCGAAAGACGATTGTCGGATACTCGAAGTGGCTGAGGATGTCTATAATAGGTATTTCGCGTGTCGCGACGAGACAGGACTGGGTGCACGGTGCGATAGTGATCGTGACGGAAATCAAAAGGACAAGGGAATATAGATCAAAAATGTGACTATTGAATTTTCCGCTGTGGAATCGTAGAGCGTCGAGGCGATAGGAACCGTCAAGGCATCGGCGAGGGGAAGAGATAATTATTTGGTGGTGTGGTTTCGCGCTGCGATTGCGGACAAGAGAGAGAACAAGGCCAACGGGGGGGAGAGGAGGTCGTGGGCGAATAAGGCGACGATGGGGCGAGTGGCACGTCACGAGATTCCAAAGGCCGGGACCAGCGAAGAGGTCGATAGAAGTAACCCACGGGACGGCCTGGAAAAAGTGAGGCCCAAAAAGAGCGCAAATCGAGGCGTTGAGAAAGGAATTGGTAGATTTGTCGAAAGACGGAAACCCAGGAGAAGGCAATGCGAAGACACGGGAGCGATGCCACAAAGAGGGTTGATCCGCTTTCAGTACGGGGATGGGGAGAAAGAATGGGAGTCGCAAGGATGGGGACTGGGCCGTGGTTGAGTGGGCGGCTGGGCTGGGCTGGGTAGTGTCTCCCGCGGGTGCGATTAGGTTCAGTAAGGTACGGTTCGGTACGGTACAAAACTGTACAGCGGATACTGTCGTCTGCTTCTGGTTTCCTAGATGTCTGCTCTGGCTGGGCTGTCTCTGCTAAGGGCCTGGCTGGGCTTTGATAATGCGACGGCGGACCCGGTATTCAGGTACGCACGTTGAGCTGACTGACAGGAAAAATAGAGGGCGCACGCAAGATACCAGGGTTGAAATCTGACGTGACGGGGGTGGTTGGTAAACCTCAGATTCAGCCAGGCTGAATGTTGGTCGAAAATAAGAAGGAAGAGAAGAAGGAGAAAAGAAGTGGGAGAAGTTGGCAGATACTCGAGTAAAGGAAGGGTGCTGCTGGTGGTTGTCCAGTTGTAGTCTACCTAAGAGGGAGCCTGTGGACTAGACGGAACCATGGAAGCAAGGCAAGCAAGCGGATGCGCGGACTGTCGGTATAAGACCAAGAGAGTGTGAGTTCAAATAAGTAGATCTCAGATCTCGTTGGCTTGTCTGCGATTATCCTCTCAGACAAGAGATCTCAGGGTGGCAGTGACTGTGTCGAGGTACATTCGAAGCCGATAGAGATTCGATAATGATCGACGGGCTTGCTCTTACAGACCAGGGGAGATCTCACTCAACTCGCTCGTTCTCTGTCACAATCTCTGGGTCGTAGACTTTTGGGGGAGCCCTTTGACCTTTGCGCCTGGCAGAGTTGGGCGGGTGGGGTTGTCGAGTTGTAGAAATGGTTCTGATTCGTTGACGTCCAGGAAGTGGATAAACTTGTCGGCGGATTCGGACCAGGGCCCCGAGATAAGAGTGGATGTTTATGCGCTTATTGAAGTATGAGACTTATGCGGATCCGGCATTGACTAAACAAAGCAGCCAATGAAGGACACAAACCTGACAGTTGCTGGTCCCCTTAATTTGTCTCCAATAAGCCTTCGAATGAGCTACTCGATAGAAACATATTATACGTAAAACTTGAAGCAACTCCCCCCTTATAGCGAATCTTCTCTCGAATCCCTGGACGAACACGCGAAGGTCCCTAGAACCGGGATGTCCCAATCTCAACCTGCGGGCCGGCATTGATCTTCAACTGCGTTGTGTTGGCTGCGGCTGTTCCTCCAAATGCAAAAAAAAAATGTGAGCGATCAAATTTTGACTTCAAAAAAAAAAAAAAAGCAATACTGAGGTAGCACATTTTCCAACGAGAAAGGTTGGCAGAATCTCACAGAATCATGACGTGAGAACGCTAACGACCTGATTAGCCTATTTATTCTAAGACAGACAATCCATTATCCATCCATCCATCACAGGTGGACTGGTGGAGGACAAGACAAATTGCTTCATGCATCTATCGCGATGTTGAAGCGGGCCTTGAACTGGCTTCCGCCGCTAGTGTCAAAAGAGGGTAAGAAGCCGGTCACGTGCAGATAGCACAGTGCCGCGCAAATGACAAATTTTCTTGCACTGTCTTTCAATATCTTCTCTCGATGCGGCTCTTAATTTTCTTCCTCCAAGCTTCAAACCTTCTCAACAACAACAAACCGCCTCTGCCTACCTCTTCACACGAGCACAACGCGCGAGATTGCACGACGACTGTCTTCCTGGAGCAGCTGTTTTGATTTTGAACGGATCCGCTTGAGCGACTTGCCGATGTGTGGGTTGTGATGGATGTTTGCTTTTGGCGGTTTGCTTGGCTAGCAAAATTTTCATTGCAGCCTCGCGATCAACCTGCATTTGAATGGTAAAAATCACCACTCCCTCACTTCTGCCCTCCCAGCACTTCCTCCCCTCTGCATGATGACACTAGTTACATTCTTCTTTTCCCAACTGAATCGACCATGAAGAAGTTCTGTATTCGGGCCCTAGGCCTGTTACTTGCCAGTATCAACGTCTGACTACACAACTACACTCAGCTTTTCTAGCACGCGCATATTTTGCCAGCCTTGCTAACATCGCTGTTACAGATATGAACAATGTGCTATTACCAGACGACTAACCCAGCAGCTTCACGAAATTTTCTGAGAACTAACGTAAGTTTCTACTCATTTTTATTTCACACACCAACCACTCCCGTTTTGCATGATGAAATTTTCCTCTTAATTCGCAGTTTCCACTCGAGTCCCGATCGAGCCTTTTCTGGGACAGATGAGGGTTTATTCTTCCTTGGATGTCTGATCAAACACCATATCTTCACTTGCTGTCGTTACTTTTTAATGGGTCATGAAGCTAACTGAAAAAGTTTTAGATGTTGCCATGGAGACCACTCCGCGTTCTAAATATGATAGCATAATTGAATCTGTTGATCATAATTCTTCTCTCGCCTTCAATTTTGTGATGTTGCTCGCGCCGTTCTCGTGATTTTGTGCATCATCTGCTTGTAGTGTCATCATGGTGGTGTATCATGACAACCTAAATCATGAGCGTGGTAAGTTCGCCTAGCTACATTCCACATCGGCGAGACCAAACCCCTTCTGCTATGCGGTGATAGATAGCTGGTTGTGGACCCTCATTTGGCATCGCCTCTGAAATTTCATATTTTTAAGGATGTGTCTGCAGCTCTTTAGATGTTGGTTCATAGATTGTAGTACATTGCTCATCACCATGCCAGGCGTTAGCTTATGCGTAAGCTGCTAGACACGAACTTCGTCTCTCATATCGTCCCTTCTCACCCTGCCGCCTACCATGCCTCTCCTGTTTCTTCCCGTCCTTCCTCTTCCAAGCCAGTTTAGCTTCAGCATCTTACACAGCTCTACCACCTTCTCGTTGCCTTCTGCACCTGCATCACCCGCCGACACACCCGACAAAACACTCATACACTGGAGCATACGACCAACCATCTCAGTGATGTGCTTGGAGTCCTCGACATTCTGCTCACGTTCCCGTAGGCTGCCTAGAGAAGGCGGTGGTGGGATTCCGCCACCAGACGGCGTGAAAGGTCGTAGACCACCATCACTCCCGTGACTGCCGAAGCTGACGTTACTAATGGCACGGCTACGGCCGCCTGCCGATCCTTCACCGAGAAGGGTTGTACTCGTAGAATTGTAAGAAGCATTAGACGGGTCGAGAGACATAGCTGTGCCGGGCCGGCCGAAAGATTCAGAAGGGGAGGTAGACAGTGATGCTTCCGGGGGAGAAGACATGGCCATACTTGCAAGCGACGAGGGCAGGAACTCAAGAGATAGTCGCGAGAATATTGTCTTGAGTGTCTCGTACCGCGGTAGAATGACAGTATCTCTGTAGGCGATAAGGACCAGCCTCCTAACATCGAGAACTGCTGGTGCCGGTGCTACACGGGCTGGTCTCTCTGAAGTAGATGCAGACGCTATAGCTCCGCCCCAGAAGTCCCGTGCCTGCTCTCCAGTCATAAGCGTACCACACCCTGACACCTCCATATCGAGTGGGAGGAAGACGGCTTGCATATATGGCAGTATGGAAGTAAAGGTAAACATCCAGAGCTCAACTAGCGTTGGTATAAATCGGTCTTCTGGGGTCTGCCGTAATGTTCGGTCAAGTGACAAGAACCCCGTGTGTAAAAGTTCTCGAAGATCCTCCAACATGGTATTTGGTGAGCGTCTATGCATGCACCACTGTATATGCATCTGTACAACTCGGTTAAAGTCTTCAACGGGGAGACGCAGGTCTTCCCCTTCAAATATGGCCAATAGCTTTGCCTTCAGGTACGGCCACGCATCGTCCAGCGACATGTGGTTGTGAAGACCGAGCTTTCCGGGGTCAACAGGATCATACATTGTCGACTGCTGGGACAGAGACGGTAGACTACTGGGTCCTGGCCATTCGCTCTGTAAATTGAAACTTGACTCGCTCTCCAGGCGACTATCGGATCGCTCACCGAGCTTCTTATCTTTCTTGGCCTTGGCAAAGGTAGAGGAGTTGGGGCCAGGGCTCGGAGGAATATTAAAGTTATACAAAGGATTTGGCGCATTGGGATCTGTTGGTAACGAATTGCTGGCAGCTGATGATAGTGGGAGATGATACTCATCCTTGAGCTTGTGTTTTTGCCGTGAAAGAAAGTGGTGCTTCTTTTCCTTCTCTTTGCCTTTTTCCTTATCCCTTTCTCTGTCCTCGGTGGGTGTTTCGATAGGCCGAATCGTGGCTGAAGACGAATTGGTTAGGTTGTATATAGACTGATTGCTCGAGTCAACGAGACTGTTTGTGCTGAAGTTGCCGCGCTGAAGTGCTGATAGAGCCGAGCCAATCTTTCCTGGACTTGGCAATGGCTTTTCCTTGGCCTCACCTTTTGTGCTAATCTTGCCTGGGCGGGAGAATAGCTTGACCTTTGGCTTCTCTGCCTTGTACGGCTTCTCAGACGCTGGGGGTGGAGGAGGAGGTTGCGAGTATGGCTGAGGCGACGCTCTCGGGGAATTGTGTCCAGATCGAGGAAATACAACATTGGCGGCAGCTGTAGCAGCGGAAGAATGAGGCCCGCCAAGTCGATCACCATGTCCTCCATGATTCCCAAACCCACTGTCCCGCGGCGCACTCGCTTCCGTCAAGCTCAACATAGGGGGACTCGTAGGCCCCTTACTTCCGCTGCCACGACGCACTCCATCGTTTTGATCGCCAGGAAAAGGCACAGTCTGCGATCTCTGGCGCGAATGATTCTGGTGCGACATGACAGCCGCCTGCGCAGCAATCTGGCTTGCCGACAAGTTGACATTGGAGGCTGTGGCGGCAGCAGCAGCAGCCGCTGCCGCGGACGCAGAAGCGGTCGATAGATTATGATGTGACATTCCGAGGTGTGAGGAAAGATTCGATGTACTCATAGACGGTAGCGTGGGCTCGAATGAGCCTTGGGTCGCCGAATGCTTGCGCGCATGGCCCTTGACAAGCGTCGCTGGTGATCCCTGGGTAACAGACCGTGCGTTGGCCGGCCTTGAAAAGTTGTGATGTCCTAAGCTCGCAGTACTAGAGTTTCCATGGGTAGTGAATTGGGCATATATCGGGGTCGCAGGAGATGATGGTTGTGGTTGAGGAGGCGGTCGCGACTTGGGTATTGTGATAGACGGCCGAGGTGTCTCATCCTCGTCGTCTGAGGTCTCTACTCGGCGCAGAGCAGGTCGTGAGGATGTCGAAAGCTGCGAGGGTTGGGCGGATGAGCTCGATAGAGGAGCGAAGCTGCCGGGGCCGCGGGGTTGAGAGCGTGAGGGTTGCATTATTGTTTTATGCGGCTCCTGGGCCGTTGTTACATCTTGAGACCCAAAGAGATGCGAGCCCGGATCGACAGGGTCCCAGGCAGGAAAGGTGTTTGGGGTTTGTTTCGGCGTTGATGAGGTTCGGTCAAGGTTGGTCGCTTGCCCTCGATGGGAATGACGGGCTATTGTGTGATCTAGTTATCAAGAGTTCTTATCAATGTTGAGCTGATGTGGAGGAATGGAATGTTCTATGAACTATCAGCTTAACCTGGAGTTGACCAGATTATCCTTCAGCAAGCCACTTCGCTGACTAACCTGGCTTTAGAACGGGATTGACTATTAAATCACATGTATTGCAAAAGATATACTAGCTGAAGCGATATTGGGCTAAAATACATGATTCCAAAGTTCCCGTCGCTCTATGTGGAATTGTATCTTCTGTGATTGAACTTGTTTTCATGATACAAATTTGTTCCGTCATTGCTCACCCTATATCTTCACGAGCACCGGATGTGGGGTTCTTATTCTACAACCCCACGTCAAAAACATCCAAGTCTAGACTTCGACCTTCTTCCAACGCCGAACATAATAACCATAACCTCAAAATGTCGCAACCAACTCTCACCGCAGACTACAAGTCCCCAGCGAGTGAACCGTTCAAAGTTGCCCACACCCTTCCCGCTATCTCATCTATAGCCTCCACGGCCGACAACTCGTCATACCTCAAGGCTCTGCGCGCCTCTGTCGCCGACACCCAAGACACTATCAACCAAGAGCTCACAGCGCGAATGGAGCAGGACAAGGCGAGGGATGCCGCGGCTGAGGCTAAAGAGGAAGAGAACTATGGCGAGGAGGTGCAAGAAGAGGAGGACTGAGGGAACCAACTCCTCGCGAACGACTGCAAACCCTTCAACGGCAAGATGTGTTTGAATATGAAGGGTATTTGAGAAATATCATACTGGCTACCATCGATCCAATCCATGCAAATGCTCCCCGAAACGATGCTCCCATCCAGCCTAAACGACCCGTCTAAAATCCTCGACCCCAACTTGGCGCCTGGGATGCGTCTACTTTGTTCCCTGTTGCCCGGTTCAAACAGCCGTAGTGCACCACTGTGTTATCCGGCAGGACAGCTACAACGCTCCCACCAATACGCATACCTCCTCCGAGTTTCTTGTGGCACACGACGCAGTGTCGTTCGTCTGTGATGGCAACGTGCCTGTTACGCCCGCCTTGCCCTCCCTGTACATCGTCACCAAGGTGCAGCCGCGCCGCGATAGAGATGCCTTCAGCCTGTCGCAAACCAGCAACGATCCTTGCCTCGTTGACCAGACTATTTGCCGATCGAATGCGGCCTCGGAAGTAAGACTCCAGTGACCGAACGGGAAGGTCGTCTGGAATGAGTCCTAGAGTTGATGTCGCTGGGAGACGTGATCCATGCTTTGAAAGAAGGTCCAGTGCTGGTTCTAGATTGGGCTGGTTGGGTGGTGACGGCTGAAGATAGAGCGACAGAAGTGTATGATAAATAGATGGTGTAGAAGTCTCAGGATCCTCTCCAGTTTCATTCTTCTCATTTGGCTGAGACGATGGAGCAGTATCTTGAGTCGAGTTGACTCGGTTACAGTATCTACTAAAGTTAGCTTGTGAGCCGATGGAACGACAGGTGAATGACATACTGTTCAGCTTTCTGGTAGTCCTTCATCTTGAATACATAGATCTCAAGGGCTTGTTTGTGTTGGTTCATGTTGCTCAATACCACAGCCTGTGCTTCGTAAAATGCTGGGTCTAAGCCGATACAAGTCAGTGTAGATCACCACACAACAGCATATGAATCTTACCATCTCTGGGAATCAATCTAAACGCCCTGCTGAGACTGTAAACTTGCCCCGGCTGTCTCAAGAACTCGATGAAGTGATTCATCATTTCATCCCACTTCTCACCCTTGTCCATCTTCTTCAAGTTTTCTACATAAAGCTCAACCAATCGGTCGTGAAGGTCTGGTGTCATGTCTTCGAGCTCAGTGATGATGTGCTCTAGATAGCGTCCTTCCAACTGTGTATCAACATCATGTAAGAAAGAGACAACCCGTTCTCGTGGGAGGGTCTCCGCATTCTCTGTGTCACCTGTGAAGATCTCCAAGGCCTCATCTGGACTGGCTTTGAGGGTCCATTCTGCATGCTCAAGGATGAGGTCAATTTCTGACGGTGGTAGATTTTTGAGGTACTGGATGGTGCGCTGCGGTCCGTGAAGTGTTGGTGCGGCCTCATCGGGTTCTTCAGCGGCTCCAAATCGTCGTAGAAGTTCCAAAGCCTCCTTGTGTAGCTTCTTACCGTAGAAGAAATCCACCAGCTCAGTATAGCGATTATGTTCCAAAAGCTTTTCATTGACCACATTAGGGTCGCAGAAGTTAGGAATTCGGAACAGAGAGCTTGCTAGAGTTGGTCGAGAAAACATGTATGCTCGGAACAAAGTTGTGTCGACTAACCGAAAGGTATTTCGGAGCTCCTCTTCAAGTTTCTTCTCAGATTCATCGAGCCCTATCCGTAGGAACTTCTCTGCTATTTCTTCTGTTGAACCATTTCGATCACTTTGAGGTTTCAGGTTTCCAGTAACAGGATCAATCACCCGTTGTAATCGAGCACGTGTTCCAGCCAGGTAACTGTTGAGCTCCAGAACCGCGTTCGTCAAGTCCTTGTCTTTCAAAGGTAGATCCTCGTTTGACTCAGTCTCCTTCACACTAGCAGCATCATCGCACTCCGCCGTATCCTTCTTTGAGAGGATGGATGCGGTATCCGACTGGGGCCTCCTATAGCTTCCGGTAAGATATCTGGCGAAGCCTCCTTTGCTTGACTGCGGGGTTTCCTGTGCCTGCTCAACGGGTTCAGGGGTGGTGGGACGCGTGCCATTGGTTTTCTTCGGTGTTCCTGGCGCCTCGTCCGACTCTTGTTCTTCCTCTTCGCGGCCGGCCCACGCAGATAGTTCTCCAGCAATGGAGGGAGGAAACATCCTGAGAACTCGTTCAGGAGGTGCATGTACGGTATCCTCATTGAAGAGATCCATCGCCTGGCGATATTTCTTTTTCTTGAATAGCCCTTCAGCTTTGAGCATCTTGACCTCACGGAGTGTCTGCGACTTGTTCTTTAGCAATGCATCCTCAAGCATTTCGAGAATGCTAATAGCCTCATCGAAGTGGCCACCGTCTACTAGCTCCTGAACCTGAGAGTCATAGTCTGTTGAGTCCATCTTCCAAACACATCGTTCACTGGAGATGTGAAAACCTTTCCCGGCATGTGCTAAGCTGTAAGTGGGTGACGGGAAGTGAAGCTGAGCAGCACCCGGTAGTGATAGATTCTGAAGTGATGATAATGTTATAGGATTCCGAACTTCCAGGGAGCCTTTTGAAGGCGCTTGCAAGGCAAGGATATATGGGTACGAGTACCCTATGGATTCAGGGGCATGGTTCCAGGGAATCTGCCGTCTGTCGAGGGGTTTTCCGTCATCATCGATGAATAGTGTGTTGATATCCTTTGCGAGCAACATTTCTCCCTCAGCCAATTTGGCCGCCAAAGGCTTGGGCATATAACCTCCCAATCCCATGTACCCCATACCGGCACTGCTCATTGCACCAAATCGGCTAGTCTGCCCAGCTGCTGGTCCTGAACCCGGACTCACGATATCTTCGACCTCACGTGTTACGACGTCGACCATGACGTATCCGCCATTCATACCACATACAAGCTTTGTCGCATTTGCCCATGTTACTGATCGAATCGACTCTGCCAGCACGATCTCGTCCACATCCTCGGAAAGTTCGCTCTCAAGCCAGCTCCAGAGTAGTAATTTTCTCTTGACCGCAACAGCCAACCGGCTCACGATCTCGGGGATTCCCGTGTCCGGATCCTTGACAATATTCGATGTTGACGCAAAGCAGGATGCATTCTTGGTCCGGCTTAGGGTCTCAATAAGTTCGTAGGTTTTGAGATCGTGAAAAGAGACGTGATAATTCGACAAGGATACAATTGTGTTTGCGTCCTTTATAATAGCCAGCTGCTCGATTGCTCGCGGCGAGAAGCGTTCCACCTCGCGCATCAAATCAGTTGGCTTTTCTGACCTTTGCGCAGTAGTATGGTCGTCGTCCGCCGCAGACGACGAACCATTGGCATTTGTATCGGCGGAACCATTCTGAAGTTGGTCGGAAAGCTCGTTTAGACGGTAGATTCGGAGTGCGCCATTGTTAAGGCCGACGAGAACGCGGTCACCTGAGAGCCGAGAGTTAGTTAGTCGGTGTCGTAGAAACTGCGGTGAAAGAGCAGCGAGACCACGGGGATATGCGCATACCTTGAGCGAGTATCGTCTCAATCTTAGACTTATCTTTTTGTCGCAGCTCGATGATGGGACGAGCTGTGAAAGCGGAGAGCATGGCGCCGGCCAGCTCGAAGCTGTAGAGGTTATTGGGAGAAGAGGCGCATCAGTCGGTCCCAGAGTTAGCCAAGTGCACGATTTGCCAGGTGAAGACGCTATCGACAAGTTCAAGCATGAAATATCAAGATAGATAGTCCGTGTTCAATGTTGTTGGTGTTTGGGTAATTTGATGGACGGGAATGGTTGGTCAGGTAGGTAGGTAGTTAGTTGGGAGTCGGTATCCGGTGGCAGGGTCATGCCGCCAACCATCGACGTCAACAGATGGCCAGAGCTTCTTGCTGTACTACGGTACAGTGCAACAGTGCGAATACACACTAATACAATCACATTGGATGGAAGCAATAGGTCTGATATTGAAATGCTATATGACAACATTTATTCGTAGTGGTTCATATTCAATCAACAAAAAGAAAACAGCAATAGCTTCCAGTCTATGAATCCCACGCTTGATCTACACTCGTGCATATGACAATGCATCTGACAGAACCAATGTAAAATAACACCCAATTTCAAACACCAAAAACAACAACACATATATCGACACCACATTGATTTAGTCAAGTCCCGCGACTTGCATGATTCCATAACCAAGAGTCACGACCACAACAAGGGTAATGAGACTGCTGGGCACACCGCGGCTAATGAAATGCTTGACCTGTAAATAACGCTGGCCGAACGGGTCTTCCTTCATAATAGCAGCTATGATAGGTTAGAAATGAGTTGTTAGGGGTAAATGCATGAAACTTACTCATGTTGGGGAATCCACTGGTTGGCAGACCCATGGCTGCACTACACATGAGCACTCCACCCATGACAAGCAGGTTGGGGTGAGGCTGGTCCATGGCAACACCGACATCGAAGACAAGAGGCAGGAAGATAAGAGCAGCGACTGTGTGGCTGATGAATGTTGCGATAACCAAGATCAGAGTCGAGAAAACAACCAGGACACCGTACAGACTCATGCCCTCCACCTTCTCAGAGACGATCTCAGCGAGGGTATGAAGCAGACCAGACGAGCGTACAGCTTTGCCCAGCGACAAACCACCGGCTGCAAGGATGATGATGGTCCATGGGAAGTTGTTGAAGTCCTCCTTGGTCAGCAAGCCGATACCGAAGAATAGCACGATGGGAATAATAGCAATAACACCCATGTCTCCAAATTCGGCCTCTAGCTGGTGGCTGGCACACCACAAAGCAATGGTAGAGATGGTGACGATAGTGACGAACCATTGGAGACCAGTGAACTTCTCCTTGACAGGCCGAATAGGGGCGATCGTGGTACCCTTGCCTGGCTGGAAGGTAACCAGGAGGAGGAGCCAGATCAGAACGATCGAGAGAGCGCCAACAGGAATGACAATAAAGAACCACTGCAGCCACGTGGGCGCAGGTTGCATGATGCCCATTGCCACGACGTTCTGAGGAGAAGCGATGGGTGAGAGCATTCCACCAATATTGGAGGCGAGTGCGATACCAATGATGACAGCTTTCGACATGTTGGAATCAGAAGGCAATGTTCGCAGCATGGGCTGTATAATTGTCAGTTTGAGCCTTCATCCATTTCCTTGATTAACTTACCTCGATGATAGAATAGCATAGAACAGGTGCCGCGACATTGCTAATCAACATAGACGCAAATGCAGCCACAAACATGTTGGCAATCAACACAGTCTTGGGCTGAGTGCCGGCCTTGCTAAGAACAAGAGTTGCCAGTCGCTTGTCGATAGTACACTTGGACAAAGCAGCTGCCAGAGTAAAACCACCGAGGAGAAGCATGATGACAGGCGTCCACATGGCAGCAAAGATGGCAGATGTGGCTGCCTTGGAGTCGAGACGTTTTTGAGGCTTGCCTGGTGTCTCATCACGAACGACGTTCAAGACAACAGAGAGGAATGGGATAAGTAATGATGTTACAAAGAGGGGGATGGTCTAAAAAGGTCAGCAATGGTCAATTGCGAATTTGCCTGGCTGGAAAGCTTACCTCGGTGGCCCATAACAAACTGACAAAGACAAGCATTGCCAGACAGTTCTGTTGCTCGGGCTTCTCCATGATGGGGAGCAGAAGCAACAGGAAGAAGACAGTAAGACAGGCAACCAGTGTCCAAAGAGACGAGCTAGCGAGCCATGGAGGTAAAGTAATCTTGCCAAAGGGTGTGCGGAACTGGGTCTCTTGGGGTGCTTTGGCCTCGTCGCCTTGTAATCTCCTCGTGACATTTCCTCTCTCCTGTCCGAGAAGCGCCTGTCCCAGGCCTGCAGCCTCAGCCCTGCGCTCGATACCAATGAGATCTCGCCACACGGTGTTACGCTCCCAAACAACATGTTCTCTGAGATGCGAACGAAGGTCTTTGCGAGCGAGCTCCTCATCTCCACCAGTGACGATCTCAGCATAAGCCCTCTCCATCTTGGTAATGTTGTCCTCGAGAACACGCTTTGTCTCATCTTTGAAAGGGTAGGCTGTCTCGACATGGGCTCGCAAATAGGGTCCCTTGAGTTCCTTATCAAGGATCTTGTCGAACTTCTTGAGAACCTTGGCAAAACCGGTGCGGTTAAGCTGGATAAATGACTTGAGTTCGCAGAGTGACACGTAGAGGCCGATAATGCGCTTCTTGAGCATGATACCAGACGAAAACATGCCAGAAGAGAACATGAGAGCTTGATCATCGTTTTCGTCGGCTGTGGTGCTGTGCCTCCTCATGTCGCGACCGAACTCGGAGGAAGCGTTCAGATCTTCAGAACGCGGCTTATGGATGTTGGGAAGTGTGCGCCTGCGGCCTCCGCTGCTTCGTCGCCTTGTTGTAAGCCCAGTAGTCTCATCTTCCTCCTCGCTCGCGCTCTCTTCATTGTCGGTGCTGCGGCTCCGAGGACTTCTCGAGCGGAAGCCGTTGCGACCATCAGGACGGTGGGCTGATGAAACAGAGAGCCTGCGAAGGTAACGATTGTCGGCAATGGCATCTTCGGCCTCGTCGCCAACGTCGCGTAGCAGTTGCGCAGCTTCTTCGAGTAGCTCGCCTTCTTTGGCAACGTAGAATGAGCATATCTTTTCTAGCTCGACGCCAAGAGCTCGAGAGAAGACCTCTTCAGCATCTTCTTGGTTTATAAGAGGTCGGGATTCGGCATCACCAGTGGTTCCGCGCGCCTGATGAGCGGTCTTTTCGAGGTTGTAGATTCTGCGAGAAGATAATATTAGCTCACGCGTGGCTTGAATGCAATGTTAGCAGAACATACAGCTTCTTGAGATTGCTGTATGCAATGTAATGGCTGCTCCAATCTGGAACAGCATTGAACTGAATACTATGAGAGAACTTCATCTCGTCTTGTTCTTCTAGCCAGCGGCGCTTGTCGTCTCGCTTGGCCTGTCTTCTTGCTTCACGATCTTGGGCGTCTCGACGAGCCTGAATGGGAGGATAATCGACGAGTTCGAACTGCTCGCTCTGGTGGGCACTGGTGCTCGTATTTGCACTACTGTCGTGGTGGTGCTGATGCTGATGCTGTGGTGCCGGGACTGGGTCGTCTAACAGGGAGGCAGCAGCACTCCCTCCTCGTCTCGGGTGGGCGTCGTTGATGCGAGTTTGAAACGTGGTGAGTGCAACGCCGGGAAGAGAGGAGGGATCGTCGAGGGGCGGTTGTGAGGGAATGGTTGCGACTTGAAGGTTGGACCACCGAGTTAGATTTTTTCTATTATCGACCAAGAAGTATTGGAAAAGATGGAGTGTGTCCCGATGACGGAAGGCATGTGGTTCGAGGGTCCCAATTGGGTGTCAAGGCCCGTAGCGGTAGTGTCAAGATCCTCTTGGAGTGGACTCTTTGGACTGTGGGATGAGGAAATCGTCGCGGCAGCCCCGTTGAACCCAAAAAAAGGTACACTACTAACGTCTCCACTGATACCGCACCGCGTTCTGTAGGGTCAAAGCAAGTAAACCTTGTTAGATTTGGGACAAAGCGATCATATGACGGCACATAAAGAATAAGTGAGGCTTGGCTGTAATGCAAAGAGCCAAATCCAGGGCAATTGTCGAGAACGAAGCAACACGCAAGTCAAGGGGTTAATGCGGATACTTGCTGCAAAGGATCACCGAAGACGCCCATGATAGGCCGGCTTTGAGTTTCCGTGCAGATTGATCCTTGTACACTGTGACGTCGTTCCTTGGAGTTCTTCGGGACTTGCAGAAGTTGCTGTTGCTGTTACAGTAACAAATAAGTCGATTGTGAGAGGTCGATTTCAGCTTTATATACAACGCCCATATATAGACACGTTGTTGCTTAGACGAAGTTTCATTACGTTATCCTCTGTTTGCACCTAATTTACTCTACAGTTAAAGATTCATTCTCGTTTCATCCACTATTCCAGGGCCCTTGTAAATACGACAAAAGCTTCCACGGAAATGCATGATATATCAGGATGTATTGTCTTTTTTCAAAATAAGGGGAACAAAAATACAGATACGCAAATTCAAAATGTTGGTGTGCCCAAGAGCCATCACATGATAGAAAACGTGGGCAAATCCCCTGAATTGACAGGATGGCTTCACGAGGCTGCACCCTCTACATTCTATCGGCTGAGACACCGAAGAAGAGGCGGAGGTCAGGCGTAGGCTTGAGGCGTCAGGGAGTAAGAAAACCTCTAACCCAAACTTAGGATGTCAATATTAACTAATCTAAATGCCTACTAAATCCATGCTAAATTAACCTAAACTAACCTAAGTCTTTTTGTCACTTAGAATAGGTCCTACTTTCTGACCTCCCTGACGGCGTGGGGGTATCTCCAACATCAGGTACCAAGCATCTGCTGTAGAGCATTTGTGCGATAGGTCTCACTTCTCTCTACCAACTCCTCGTGTCTTCCCTTTTCAACAACCTTGCCTCCCTCAATCATAAAGATGACATCGGCCTTGCGCACCGTGTGAAGCCTATGTGTGATGGCGATCACGGTAATACCACGTGCAGCCCTCTCAAGTCCTTCTTGCAAAGCCCGCTCACTCTCAGCATCGAGGGCACTTGTGCTCTCATCGAGAAGCAGCAATTTGGGCTTACGCACAAGGGCACGGGCGATAGCTAGACGCTGACGCTGGCCGCCAGAAAGACGCGAACCATTAGGGCCACACTCAGTGTCGTAACCGTTGGGTAGCTCCATGATTACGTTGTGGATATTAGCCAGCTTACAAGCTTCATGGATCTCCTCATCTGTTGGTTCATGATCAGGAGTTGAGCCTAGCGATACGTTGAATCGTATTGTACCGT